ACTTTTTGTCAGCCCGGCTACAGTGCTGAAGAGAAACCTGGGGTTGTTCTTATTTTCTTCAACCAGTGACAAATAGTAAGATGTTCTGGCTTTGCAGAGGGCTTTCTTATAAAGCAGCAAACTATTTCTCCAGGCTAAATGATGATCCTCTAAATTTGTGACATGCCATTTCCTCTCCAGCTTAGGAGTCATCTGCTTTAGGCTACTTGTTTGAGAATTATACCACGGAGTCAGGTACTTCTGATTAGAGACCTTAGTTTTCACATGAACTACAGTATCCAGAGTCGTACGTAGTGAGGAGGTAAAATTATTAACAAGATAATTGACCTCTGATGGGGTAGTGTTCAGATAGCTGCTCTGCTCTATAAGCATTGAAGATGCTTATCCACCAGTATGTGAATGTGAGAGTGAATGAATAGTGGAATTGTACAGCGCTTTGAGGGCCCCGAAAAGCGCTATATAAATGCAATCCATTATTATTCATTATTATTAAGATGATTACAGTGGGTGGATTATATTCTTAAACTTAGTTACAGCGCTTTCAGAAAGACATCTACTGTGATAAAGTCTACTCTCCACTGCTGTGTAATCAATTATTGTAAATGTAATCAGGAAATGATCAGACAGGAGAGGGTTTTCAGGAAATACTGTTAAATGTTCAGTTTGTATGCCATATGTTAAAACAAGATCTAGAGTGTGATTAAAGTGGTGGGTGGGTTCTTTTACATTTTGAGAGAAACCAATTGAGTCTAATAACAGATTAAATGCCATGTTGAGGCTGTCATTTTTAGCATCTACATGGATGTTAAAATCACCCACAATAATTATTTTATCTGAGCTGAGAAGTAAATCAGAAAAAAAGTCTGAGAAATCAGACAGAAACTCTGTGTAATGCCCAGGTGGACGATATATGATAACAAGTAAGACTGGTTTCTGAGTTTTACAGCTGGGGTGGACAAGACTAAGCATCGGGCTTTCAAATGAATTAAAAGTCTGTCTTGGTCTTTCGTTGATTAATAGGCTGGTGTGAAAAATTGCTGCCACACCGCCCCCTCGGCCTGTGCTTCGAGATTTCTGGTAGTTAGAATGACTCGGGGGTGTTGATTCATCTAAACTAACATAATCATCCTGCTGCAACCAGGTTTCTGTAAGGCAGAGTAAATCGATTTGTTGATCAATTATTAAGTCATGTACTAACAGAGACTTGGAGGAGAGAGACCTAATATTTAATAATCCACATTTCACTGTTTTACTCTTTGGTTCAGATGTGGATACTGTATTGTTCCTTCTTTGTGATTTTTTATGTTTAAGTTGTTTGTTGCTGGTTTTTAGTTTGTTTTTTGTCTTTTTGGGAGCTGACACAGTCTCTATGGAGATGGGTTTTCTGGGGGGGTAGCAGAAGGAGAGAAGCTGCAGAGAGGCGTGTAGGACTGCAACTCTGCTTCCTGGTCCCAACTCTGGATAGTCATATTTTGGGGGGTTTAATAAATTTGTCCATATTTCTAGAAATGAGAGCTGCTCCATCCAAAGTGGGATGGATGCCGTCTCTCTTAACAAGACCAGGTTTCCTCCAGAAGGTTTGCCAATTATCTATGAAGCCCACATCGTTTCTGGGACACCACTCAGACAGCCAGCAATTTAAGGAGAACATGCGGCTAAACATGTCACTCCTGGTCTGATTGGGGAGGGGACCAGAGAAAACTACAGAGTCCGACATTGTTTTGGAAAAGTTACACACCGATTGAATATTGATTTTAGTGACCTCCTCCCGTGTAACCGGGTGTCATTACTGCCGACGTGAATTATGATTTTACTGAATTTACGTTTACCCTTAGCCAGCAGTTTTAAATTTCCTTCAATGTTGCCTGCTCTGGCCCCTGGAAGACAAATGACTATGGTTGCCGGTGTCTCTAGCTTCACATGTCTGAGAACAAAATCACCAATTACCAGAGTTTGACCCCCAGCGGGTGTGTCGCCGAGTGGGGGAAAACGGTTAGACACATGAACGGGATTGTAGTGTACCTGGGGCTTCTGTTTAAGACTATGCTTCCTCCTCACCGTCACCCAGCCGCCCTCTTTCCCCAGCTGCTTGGGGTCTGCCGGGGAACAGCTAGCGGGGCCTACGCTATCTTCGGCTGCAACAGCACTTCAGCAGCACTGCCCGAGACTCCCTGCTCAGCCAAATGTCAGGCCTGGTTAACAATGCCTGTGCATACTGGGACACTCAGGTTAATCCTGGACCACAATGGGCATTTCATTACCAATAATCCTGTTGTGTTTTTCGTTGTACTGTTGTTATTTTCGCAGTTTGGCAAATGCAATAGGTCAGGCCCTCAGAAATTGTTTTATGGAGTTCGTTACAAACATGCAAATACAGTTGGGATGTTACGAATGTCTTTATTTACATAACTTAAATCATCTTGTTTGTACACAACAAAGGTTGGGACGCCAACATAAATAAAGTATGCAAATATGTACATTAGATGTCTGTGAACACGACTCAATCCTTTTTCTGCTCGACATGCTTCTCAAGGACACCTAGCAGCCCGTCCATCCTCTCGGCTCTCTGTTCCTCCATTTGACGTTGCTGTGCCATGTCCTCTTTTATTAGAGCAATGAGTTCATCCTCCCCGTCCCTCTTTCTTTTCGCCACTCATGCCTCCAGCGGCTCCTCATCCTCCTGCTCTTCCTGGTGAGGAAGTGGGTTGCCCACTACTGCACTGGGCCCTGGTGTGTCCTCCTGGATGGAGGAAATTAGGACTGGAGGCCTGGTAGAGGGCCTCTGTCCTAACACCTCATCCATGGGTCCAAACCAGGGCCATGTTGCAGCAGTGGGCTTCCCACTTGCACTATTGCCTGTCGCTGGATACTTGCACTCCTAAAGGCAGAGTACATCAAAAGTGGCAGTTGGCAAAAACAGCTACAGTACAGGTTTACATAGATGACTTCGCAGTATTCCGTGTGGAGATACATCTGTCAATACCACTGTACATTGTATTTCCTTTTTAGATTCTCCCATTTTCGTTTGGCCTGCACAGGGGAGATTTTCCCTACCAGGTCCATCTTCTCCACGATTGCTCTGACAGACGAAATATGATAGAACATGAAAATAAGGTTATTCCCTGAATGGCATCCACAGCAAAATGTACTAGATTAGGACCGCAGGGCAGACAGTTCACTCTCCCTTGTGCCTCACTGATTGGAAACCTCATACTGTTGCTGTACCTCCAACCCACTGCGGCTGAGTGTTTTGCACCGGTGAACAGGTGCTCATTTTCACGGCGGAGTCGAATGAGTTTGGCCGTCTGCTCCTTGCCGTTGGAATGCAGCAAGACATTGGATTACATTCCTGACCATCTTGCACTTCTGTTTTATCAGTTCCCTATTTTCCGTATGTTCAGCATATTCAGCTGTGTGGGACATACAAACTGAAATGTCAGGTAAAACGATTTATTGTGGGACAGGGGCAGCACTAACTGAGGCCAAACATTTACTTTTTAAGGTTCTAGGTTAAGGTCAGGGGGTTCTCTATCATATTTGACATGGATGGTGTGACAACCTTTGCAAATATGTGATGTCTTGGTGGCTCACGCAGATATTTGGTGTGTACACAGCTACATTCCTGCCTGGAATATGTTGACATTTCAGTTTGTGGCCAGGGAAGGGTAATATTGGTACAATTGATTACACTTGTAGTGGTGATACTTCTATTCATACTGCCTTCTGTCTGGAAAATGATTCACAGATTTGCGGGACTGTGCATTTACGATAATGTGGTTCCAACAGGTGTCACAAGATTCATCTTGGCATTTACTATTCACCAAAGCGTGCGGTCGCTGGATTGGGACACAGCCTCACTCTTCCACTAATGGTCAGTCTCCATCTGGAACTTAACCTTCCTGCCTTCTTGGGACCTTTTTGTGCCACTGCTATGTGTTAAATGGCTGCCATTTCCACTGTGTTCAGTGGAATATAACCAAACTTGCCACAGGATAGTTTTTACCTGTCAATGTTAATATTCCAGTGTGAATTCCTTAAATCAGCCTAAAATGGCTGAGCAGCAGAAATCCCCACACCTATCACCCTGGGGACCATTTTCTGCCCATTGACTTCCATTATAAACGCTATTTTTCAACCCCAAATTATCATCATATGATTTTATTTTTTCTTCTTTTCTTGGATGTCAATGAAGACTCAGGGCCTTGAAGTTTAAATTTTTAAATTGCAAAAAAAATGCAAAAAAAATAATGGCAGGTCAAAATGTATGTTGGTGCCAATCTTTGGTCCATCTAAAGGCCTACTTATAATGACAATCACATATTACTTCAACTGGTTTTTTGTGGAAATATTTAGTTTCGTTTTTTGGTTTTTGGGGCTTATAACACAGGGCGCTCATGTAATAACACTGGGATTTGAAGGGTTAAAACAACGAAAATATAATTAAAACTTTACATGAATATTTCAGGGAGAAGTAGTTTTACAAGGTTGGCTAATTTAAAGTGGAATAAAATATGGATATATGGTCTTTTTATGGCGTGGCTGAGAATGGTCCCTAGGGTGATGGGTGTGAGTTTTTTAAAGGATGGCAGGAGGGTTAAACAAGCACAAAATCAAATCAATTTATTTATATAGCACTTTTCACAGGATAAAAACCACAAAGTGCTTCACAGTAATATAAAACAGAAATACATAAAATACATTAATAATAAAACACACAGCACAAATCTAATTAAAAGCCAATCTAAATAAATGAGTCTTAAGCTGCTTTTTAAAAGAATAAATACAATCAAGGCAACGTAATGATGGAGGGAGAGCATTCCACAACCTGGGGGCCACCGCTCTAAAAGATCTATCACCTCTGGTTTTAAAATATGTCCGAGGGACTACCAACAGCCTTTCATTAGAAGATCTCAGGCTGCAAGAGGGAGCGTGAGGTTCTAAAAGATCAGAAATGTAAGCAGGGGCATCACAATTCAAAGCTTTAAAAGTCAGTGCCAAGATTTTAAAATGAATTCTGAAATGTACTGGAAGCCAGTGTAATGAACATAACACTGGTGTAATGTGCTCTCTTTTTCGCGTCTTAGTTAAAAGCCTTGCAGCAGCATTCTGGACTAACTGGACACGGTCAAGATTCCTTTTGCTCAAACAAAGAAAAAGGTTGTTACAATAATCTAAGCGAGATGAAATAAAAGCATGAATAACCATTTCCAACTCAGATTTAGACAGCAAAGTTCGCAGTTTGGAGATGTTTCTTAGCAAACAAGACAGAGAACAAACAACGCCACCCTCAGGTGTGGCGAGCAAAAGCAACACACAAAATCATGACCTGGGTCATAACACTTTCTTTGAAATCAGAGCAAAGCTTCAACACCTTCTCTATTTAAGACATTGTGGTGGATCTGTGGCGCAGCTGTGGGGAGGCAGAGCTCATCACACTTCCCCTGCATTTAAGTCTGTACTGGGTCCTGACTGAAGTTGTTGGTGTATGTGTGGCTGGCAGCTGGAACGCTGCAGCCAAGAATAAAAGTGTTACAAAAGTGGTCATGTCTGACATGCATCGTCTACAGACATCTACTGGAAACTGTGGATAGAGGAAACCCTTGCCCCTGGTGACTGGGACTCTCACAACTAGTGATGGTATGATAAATGCCTGTGAATTTTTTTTCCCACCAAAAGGTAAATCATACAATGCACGATGTACTGACATCCGCTGATCATTTGATATACAGCAGTACTGCTGTGATATGTAAACGTATAAATGTAGCGATTGCAAAATACCCATATGAGGTTCTGTATATATCGTGTCACACTTAAATGTTTCAGATCATCAAAAAATTTAATATTAAACAAAAATAACACAAGTAAACAAAAATCCAGTTTTTAAATGAAGGCATTTATTATTAAGGGCCCTGTATGAAAAAGTGATTGCCCCCTAAACCTAATAACTAGTTGCACCTAATAACTGGTTTTAGAAGCAATAACTGCAATCAAGCATTTGCAATAACTGGCAATGTGTCTTACAGCACCGTGGAGGAATTATTTAAATAAAGTTTTTAGTAATAACTTTAGAAGATTTAGAAATAATTCAGACCTTTTAAAATAAGAATATATAATGTAAAAAAGAATATTTCTGCCATTTCCATTACAGAACACTGAAAAACCTGTTTATGCCAGTGAACTGTTAAATCATGAAGACCACATTAGAGTATAAGAAAGAAAATAAAAAAGACAGCAAACAAAATAACACAAAAAATTATTTAAAGTGGAAATCAGTTTTTAAAGACAACTATGTTCTCCAATTAAGTGTCATTTTTCTGTCACAAAGTTGTTCAATACAAAAATCATATCAAAAACTTCACATTTCATATTAAACCACAAGCTGTTGGATTAGTAGACAACATAACGAAATAACAATACGCCACTAAAGACAAATCTTTTAAAATTAAAATGACAAATTAAAGGCTCAAAACTTCGAGTAGAAATGCAGATTGGCTCCTTTCAAAGTGTTGATAATACTTTTTAGGCTGCAAATCTGAAATTAGTGGACAGCTAAATGTTTTCAGACACAAGCCAAAGCTTAAAATACAAATAACTGTAATTCATTAAAGAAAAAAGTGCAATTTTAAAATTAAAAGGTGTGACATTTCCAACATTTCAAAAGCTTCCAGTACAATTTAAATGATGATAAACATTATTCTCTGGTAAAATAAAACGTTTATCATTCAGCTCTGCTGTGAACTTTGAAGTCAAAACAAACTAACTGTCACCACCTGGAGGCAGCAATGATCACTGCTTTGTCCAGCTGGGTCACCAGTTTTTAAAAAGACACATTCACCATCATTAATCACTTCAGATCAGTATGAAGAGCTGCTTGGACACCAGCGCAGCACCTTGAATTCATAATGAATACAGAAACAAGAGTTTCTGCTGGACATAAATAACAGCACAAAAACAAACACTAAAAATAACAGTGCATCAGTATTGTACAAAAAGCATGAACAAACCTCAGCACATTTTCAGAGCCTTCAATTTTTGTATTTCTAATTTATAGGTGGAAAGTAAAGAATTGGATAAAATATTAACTTTACCACCTGACAACAAATATTTATTTATGTTGCCTATTTATGTGATGAACAAAACATTGTCTTTTATACAAGATACAGTGAACTTATAGATAGCTGTGAAGGAAAAATGCCAACTTAGGATCATAATTTTGGATAGAAAGTGCATAGAAGAGCAGTCTTTATAATCTATGTCATCTCTGTCGTCTTTCATGTAGAGAACGAGAGACTGTCAAAGCAGTCAGGAAATCCAACCGCTTCTTCCTCTGATGGCAGAACAGCATGTTGGAAATTCTGGGAAATGCAGTTCAGTCAGTCAAAAATACAATTAAAAAATCAGAAGCTCATCCAGGAGACTTCAGCAATATTCCCAGCTATTAGCTTACACTGAAAAATATGAATTTTCATTGTGATGTATGCATGTAATCCTTGTCAACATGACAAGTTTTTACTGCAAGAGGCTTTTTTGTAAGTCCTCCTCAGGTCCTACAGGGTTTTGCTGGTGGTCATTTCGATGTCACTCAGATCCCTGTAGGTCTCTGATTGGCTCATATTCCAGGTATTCCACTTCTTCCACAGATTGTACTTTGTGTTGTTCAGAGGGATGTTGATTGAGGAAATGTACTGCATGGACCGTGACATGGAGGTTCTGAAGGCCCGTGTTCGAGCTGTGAAGAGGAGGAAAATTTGTAAACCCTAAAAAACAGAAAGGGAAGATGATGGTTACTCTCTTTATTTTTGTAAGTAATGTCATGTTTGATGCTACTTATAAGTAACAAATTATTCTTTATAGTTATTAGTAAAGTACCTGAAATTATTTTGCAAGATTTTTCTTATTACTTTGTAAATTCTTGTGTGTTGTGTTTGAATCCTGCAGCTTATCACACATTTGAATTCCATGTGTGAAAACTGCAAATGTCCAGCATTGCACCCCTGATGATCCACCAGGACAAACTCAGCAGTGTGTGAGGAAGAGCCAGCAGCAGCTGACAGATGGAGAGAATAGACAGACTGTTCCCTGTTTGTGAAGGACTGCTAGGAAAGTTTAAAATAACTAATTGTCTGTCCTGAATCAGTCTTATTAGGTAATGATAAAATAATTTTATCATTCAAATGTTTTCAGTGTGGGGGGAAGTACTCAGGGTCTTCAAGTTACACACTATGAAAGGCAGCAACAAGTTTAATATTCAGAAACCTAAAGTATGTATCAGCAGCAGAATGGACCTAAAAATAAATGTTTGTTTCAGTTCTATGAAGCTTTGAGTATTTTGGATTAGTAGCACTGCTGTGTTTGTTGTATCATATTGCTGTAATTGTTTATATGCTTTATATATTCTGAGGTAAGTTGATCTATAGTGTTACATCATATTCTATAAGGATGTTATGTGTTTGTATACTTTGTGCCCAGTTTGACCCATTTAGCAGAAGTCAGCCTGTTTAAGGCTCTGATATCTATTCTGTATGACTTAAAGCAGTTATGACATAGTCTGATTTTCTCACCCAATAAAGGAATATTTCATATATCAGTCTACTCTTCATTCTATCAGAAACAGTTATCACAGGTCGTACATTTTCTTTTTACACATATATGTAAGGATTCAGACATATTTACTAATGCCAATGTCAGGTTTATATTGTTGATTGTCATTTATGCTTAGAAATATTTAACCAGACCTTAGAGGTGTATAATCGATTGTGTAGTGATAAGATGTGTGATTCTTAGTAGTCTGCAAAGACTTTGTGTGCATTCCAGAGTGTTCTGGCATACACACTCACACCCTAGGGTCATGAGAGATCTTGTATCTTCTCTTACTGATATATGGTACAGCAAACACATCTATATCTGTTTTAGTATAAGTGCCTTTTGTTTAGATGAACTGCTGGACTTCCAGACCAGCAGGGTTAGGGAAGTTGTTTATGTGGTCACATTCTGACCCCCCCCCCCCCACACACACACACACACACAGACAGTACTTTGTTTACATGTGTACCTATGTAAATGAGCCTATGTATATTCATGTAACTGCAATAAAAGAGCAGCGTTACGAGGGAGCAGACAAGAGCAACTGGGGTCAAGCGAAGGAATGGTGTTTGTCCAGTTGGTCTTTCTTGTATACGAGAAACATAAAGAACTTTGCCTGCTTGTGTCTTGCTTTGCTGTGTAGTAGAATTGTCTTGAACGTTCCAGCGAATAGGTTTATGCTACAAACCTATCAGCCAACATATTAAAAGAACAATATATAATACATCTATATATACACTGTAAAAGATACTTGTCTTTGAGTGAAGATATAAGGTTTTAGGAAATATAAATAACTGCAACTTGAATCTTTACTGAAGCCCAGTATTTGATACAGAGTTCAGGTTCACTGCTGTAATACCTAATAATAATTAATATAATAGTTAATTTAATATTGGCCATATTGTATTTACATTACCAAAGTGAGATGACTTTAGTCTCATGAACAACATTAGCTAATTGTTATTTACTAGCTAATCTTTAAATGACTGTTCAGTACAGAAATGAAGCCCAACAATCATGTTTTACAGTCCTGTGGTCTCAGCCTCAGATACTTATCAAATCAAACAAAGCTCATGTAAAAACAAACAGATGAACAAAAGAAATGTCTCCTTCATTTCTGTCAAACAATGCTGTATGAAACGTTTCCAGCGGTTAGTATCATGGTTGCTAGGCAACCTGAGCAGCGTGACAGAGGCTAGACGGTCCCATTTCACAAGACTGGCACTTCGGGCCTTCTCGGTCTTTGGAGGACCCGGCCCACGAAGACTGCGAAAGGATGCAGATCCTGAATTGGGATACAGCCAAGGACTTGACACTGAGAAATGACTGACTGTATATGCAACATGGAACACAGGGAAGACACAGTGACCAAAACTAGGACCTAGAACTACAAATATAACATGAACAGCAAACCACCAAGAAAACCAAAGTCATGAATAACAAATAATCAAGGAATATAACTTAAACAAACACAAAACACTGGGTCACAGACCCAGTACCATGATAGAAATTCCTCCACAAATAGTGACGTACTTGCTGCAGAACAGAAGTTTAAGTCAGGCCATGATTGTTGGAAGACAGGTTGCCTCCCACCAGGCTATCTTTTTAAAATGGTGATGCAATTGGATACCAGAGCTACTTGCAGTCAGTTGTCAACAGCGACTGAAACTCGGGTGTGGCATCCTCTTTAAATGCTGTGGTTACTGAGATGAACCTTTGTTTTTCTTGGCTTTGTCACTAATATAATACTAATAATACCGGTGTACCACAAGGCTGTGTGATGAGCCCTTTCCTCTACTCCCTCTTCACCCATGACTGCAGGCCTGCTGATGGTTCCAACACCATCATTAAGTTTGCAGACGACACCACGGTGATTGGCCTCATCAGTGACAACGATGAGGCCGCCTACAGGGAGGAGGTGGATCGTCTGGCTGAGTGGTGCGACAGAAACAACCTGCTGCTTAACACAGAGAAGACCAAGGAGCTCATCGTGGACTACAGGAGGAATGCTGACCCACATCCACCCATCCACATTAAGGGGACGGCTGTGGAGCGTGTGAGCAGCTTCAAGTTCCTGGGAGTCCACATCTCCGAGGATCTCACCTGGACGACCAACTGCTCCAAGCTGATCAAGAAGACTCACCAGCGCCTCTTCTTCTTGAGGACTCTGAGGAAGAACCACCTGTCCTCAGACATCCTGGTGAACTTCTATCGTTGCACCATCGAGAGCATCCTGACCAACTGTGTAACAGTCTGGTACGGGAACTGCTCTGCCTTGGACCGGAAGGCATTGCAGAGGGTCGTGAAAACTGCCCAGCGCATCGCCGGAGCACCACTTCCTGCCATAAAAGACATCTACAGGAAGCGGTGTCTGAAAAGGGCTGGGAAAATCATCAAAGACCCCAGTTTCCCATCACATGGACTCTTCACCCTCCTGCCCTCTGGGAGGCGCCACAGGAGCCTCCGGACTAAGACCACCAGGTACCGGAACAGTTTCTTCCCCACAGCTGTCAGACTCCTGAACTCTGCCTCCTGACATCTGACCCACGTTAAACTCATGGACTGAACATACACACACCCACAATGGACAACTGTACCCTCAAACACACAATAATAACATGGACTGAACCACCACTCACAACCACTAGCACTTTATATAGCCTCTGTAGAAACTATCTACACCCTCACTTATCTTAACTGCACTACTGTATAGCTCTGTGTAAATAATCATTCTGTACATTCGATAATCTTTAATCCTACAACTGTTTACAACTTGCATAGTTCCCATTTCTGTATAGCTGTATATCTCAGATTCTGTAAAGTTATTTATTTCATATTCTGTAGTTTTTCATATTTATATCCTGTTCATAGCCTGTACATAGCTTGTACTCACTACAGCCTGTACATACTTATAGTTATAGAATATTCACAACATACTTCATACCGTGTACATTATAACATACCATAATAGACCCATTTCTGTAATATACTCACATATCTATATTATTGCTAATATATATTGTAATATATCTATATCACTAAAGCACTTCTGGATGGATGCAAACTGCATTTCGTTGCCCTGTACCTGTGCATGTGCAATGACAATAAAGTTGAATTCTAATTCTATTCTATTCTAATATCCTAATATTTGCAAGAGTTACCAGCATTTTCGTACTTTTATTACTACTACTGCTTCAGTTAAAATGTTTCAGTTTTCCTTGTTCCCTTCGATATACCATGAATTAAATATAAAACTTTCAACAATCACCTCCCATTTGTTTTTGTTTTTTTGCATTTTATGTGTTTACCTGAAGTCTGAGAAGCTCATGACACCTTTAATCTCAGTTCTAGAATGAAGTGGAAGGAGTCGTACCTGTGTGGTTGTACAGATGTAGAACAAAATGCTGAAGATCAGGTGTGTTTTTTCTGAACTGAGCAGCACGAAATATCCCAGAGTCCAGGACAGACCGAGTAACACCGCCAGAGATAAACTAATGAGGAACTTCCTGCTTAAAGATGACTTCTTGTTGCTACAGTAAAAACAGAGTTAAAATCCACATGGAAGCTAGTCAGAAAGGATTCTGCATAATCTTTTCATCACATCTGTGAAAATGGAGTGTATGCATTGATACACCTCTCCTGAAGACAAAGATGGAGCATTACTGTTATTGGTTATTAGTGTTATTATTAACAAAAAGAAATAAAGCCATTTTGTTTTGCTCACAGTTAAATTGTGTTCAAAGTTTTTCTTTTTCATTTCTCATTTTTAAATGTTGGTTTTCTTAATATATTTATATCTGAGAATTGCACCTTTTAACAGCCACTTAAATTTGGGTAATTTATTTTTGAAATATTTTTTGAAACAACAGCAGCTTTAGATGTTACCTGGTCAGTCTGGGTTCAACTTTGCATGTAGTCATGGAGGTAATAACCAACAGGACGATGTTGTAAATCAGGATCAGGCCGATTGGAAGAAGGAAAGCCCAAAACATCGGTTTTCCAAAGTTGAACTGTTTGTTCTTATCCAACGCTGCCAGCCAACAACTACAGCGAGAGGAAAAGAACATAAAAAAACACTTTTGTCTACGTGTTGATCAAAATTTTATAAATACTTTATTTACTGAAAATGACATTTTTTTTAGGCAGTGGATGTAATTTCTATGGAGGACCACAAGAGCCACCCTCATCAAAATAAAGAATTCTGTTCTTAATGAACTGTAGAATAAATTCTGCATTTGTAAATTCATTTTTGAACTCCACATTAAAAAACTGATTTTTAAAATGCTTTTTAGAAACTTCATTTCAAAATCCATTTTCAAATTCCAATTCAATACAATTAAGACAATTAATCAATTTATCATATATTTATATGATATGTAGACATATTTTTTTCTAACTTCAGTATGACTGTGGTACATATTACAAAAGAATAAAAACTTTATGTGAATAACTTTACTCTTCTTAAATATAACTCATAAAACAAGTAAAAGTACAAATGTGTAAAAAGTTACAGACTTCCTCAGTAGGTTTACACTCTTTTGGAGTGATTTTAATTGTGTGTTAAAGAAGAAAGAGCCAGTCAGTCATCACTGAGGCAGTTTTTCCTTCATGAAGTCCAGGTGCTGGTTTCCCCGTGTGTGTGTCTGATGCCCCAAAGCTGACTCAGAGCCATAACACCATCCATGACTGCGGTATGGAACAGATGTGGGTGTATCCTCATCTCCCAGAGGAGTCCAAATTGTTATCAAACAGACCTACAGACACAAAAACATTGATACTATAAACAACCAGGCTATCAGCAGTGATTTAACTACTTTAAGACCTCTGTGAAAACAATTTTCACATTATTTACAGTGTATATCACAGAATTCAAGGCCTTTATAAGCACAGAGCATACAGAGAAAAGTACAGGGTGGGCCACCGTAATAAAATGGGAATGGTTGGTGATATTAAAGTCCTGTTTGTGGCACATTACTATATGTGAGGGGGCAAACTCCTCAAGATGGGTGGTGACCATGGTGGCCATTTAGAAGTCGGCCATCTTGGATACAACTTTTGTTTTTTCAATAGGAAGAGGGCCATGTCACACATCAAACTTATTGGTAATGTCACAAGAAAAACAATGGTGTGCTTGGTTTCAACGTAACTTTATTCTTTCATGAGTTATTTACAAGTTTCTGACCACTTATAAAATGTGGTCAATGTGCTGCCCATTGTGTTTGATTGTCAATGCAACCCTCTTCTCCCACTCTTCACACACTGATAGCAACACCGCAGGAGAAATGCCAGCACAGGCATCCAGTATCCGTAGTTTCAGGTGCTGCACATCTCCTATCTTCACACCATAGACAATTGCCTTCAGATGACCCCAAAGATAAAAGTCTAAGGGGTCAGATTGGGAGACCTTGGGGGCCATTCAACTGGCCCACGACGACCAATCCACTTTCCAGGAAACTGTTCATCTAGGAATGCTCGGACCTGGCACCCATAATGTGGTGGTGCATCATCTTGCTGGAAAAACTCAGGGAACGTGCCAGCTTCAGTGCATAAAGAGGGAAACACATCATCATGCAGCAATTTCAAATATCCAGTGGCCTTGAGGTTTCCATTGATGAAGAATGTACCCCATATACCACACCAAACCATCACTTTTGTTGTTCCAACAGTCTTGGAGGGATCCATCCAATATGGGTTAGTGTCAGACCAATAGCGGAGGTTTTGTTTGTTAACTTCAATTTTCAAATCAATTCAATTCAATAAAACTTTATTGATCCTGAAGGTTGACCCCGAAGGAAATTGGGTTAAGGCTGCCGACCTTACCCTTCTGACCATACATACATGACACAAACATCACATGGGGAAGACAGGTCAGAGAGGTATAACAATGGAAAATGCACAACATGAGGAAAGATCAGGAGAAAAGAAATAACTCCCCCCAGACTGAGCTCCAACAGGGAGATCAGTTTGAGAACAGAAAAAAAACACCTCTGCACATAGCACATGAAAAAAACTCTTAATACACCAAAGAAACACATGAGAAGACACAGGGGTGGGTAAAGGGTGAGAGACAGCCAATGTAGACAGTGCATCCGGGCCTGCAGCATAAGCGCTGGTCTCCTTGATCCACTGTCAGCATCGGAGGGGAATAAGCGTCAAAGGCGTTTGGAGGGGGGAGGGGGGATGAGTGTACATCTGCATGTGTATATATGTCTGTGTGTGTGTGTATGTGTCTAGAGCTGAGACAGTGTCCTTCGCCCTGCCAGGCTAAGTAAACAGTCTTCCAGCCAACCCAGGTAGCCTTGCATAGAATGGGAAGAACAGTCTAAACACAGTCGTTATCAGGGTGTTTTTGTTCAGCTCCAGCCTTGAGACGGCAGCTGGCGCTGAAGGGATATCCACATGTAGTAATGCTGGTTTTTACTTTAGTGCGAACAACTCATGAGAATTTCAAAGCTGTTCTAACAGTCCGACACTGGTCTTTCAAGCTCCCGTTGGAGAGCCGTGAGCTTCTCCATGATGTTATCAAACTTACGCTCCGTGATGTTGTCATTCTTGTGCTCAAAGAGCCGATTCTGAGAACTCACGACCGCAGTGAGCTTCTCCAAGATGTGATCCAATTTGCGCTCAGAGGTCTTATTCTGAGTATTCACGGCAGCCGTAAGCTTCTCCAAGATCTTATCCGTGCTGCACTCAATGAGCCCATTTTGAGAAACTCACGCCTCGTTCCATCGTTTCAATCCCAGCGGACAGCCTTGTGGGGGTTTAAACAGCCGGTTCCACTTTCTTGATTCTTCGATAAGTCAGGGCCAAGCCAGCTCCGATCAGCAAGAACCCTGTTATCATGCTTCCTAATAGGTAGATATCTTCAGCACTCAGGCTCACCCGAGCCCAAACTTCTCATTGAGAAAAGGGTGTCAATTGCATTCAAGGACCAGTTGATCAAATCCATAATTCCTCTTTTAGGTTTTAGAGAACAGACTGTGAGAGAGTGTTCCAGGGAAAAGTAATACAAAAAACACGAGCCTAGACAAGGACACAAGAGGCTAAGCAGGGAAGCTAAGGGAGAGGAGGAGGAGAGGAGAAAAGTGCGACAGCCTTCGTCAAGAGCAAGTATTACATAAAAGTTTGCCTCATCACTGAACAAAATCTTGTGCGTCAACTGAGGGTCCTGTTCCAATTTTTGTTTTGCCCATTCTGAAAATTCTGTGCACCGATCTGGGTCATCCTCGTTGAGATGCTGCAGTAGCTGTAGTTTGTAAGGGTGCCATTTGTGAGTAGCTAATATCCGACTAATGCCACTCTCCAGTGACATGCGGCAAGTGCTACGCTGTGGGCTCTTGCTGAATGAAGCTAGGACAGCCACTGATGTTTCTTCATTAGTGACAGTTTTCTTGCGTCCACATTTTGGCAAATCCAACACTGAACCAGTTTCACGAAACTTAGCAAGCAGTTTGCTAACTGTAGCATGGGAGATGGGTGGTCTCGTAGGATGTCTTGCATTTAAATCTGCTGCAATGACCCGGTTACTGCTTTCAACAGATATCAACACAATTTTGATCCACTCCTCACGTGTTAACCTCTTCGACATGTCAATGGCTTAGAACAAAGAGAAACTTGTAAATAACTCATGAAAGAATAAAGTTACGTTGAAACCAAGCACACCATTGTTTTTCTTGTGACATTACCAATAAGTTTGATGTGTCACATGGCCCTCTTCCTATTGAAAAAACAAAAGTTGTATCCAAGATGGCCGACTTCTAAATGACCACCATGGTGACCACCCATCTTGAGGAGTTTGCCCCTTCACATATACTAATGTGCCACAAACAGGACTTTAATATCACCAACCATTCCCATTTTATTACGGTGTAGCCATATAAATGGCCCACCCTGTACTCAATCAATTTCATCTTGTGTTTTTCATTATGCATATTTTATTAATAATTACATGTCGTGATCTGCATCTTTACCACACATTTGCCACAGAGGTGTAGATACTGTAGTTGCAGTGAATGCTTAAAGTGTGCTGATTAGAATATACTGGACAATCAATGCTAAGATTCAGCACACTTTGTTAGAGGCTGGGATTTGATGAATTCATCATATATCAACTTCTGATCATCATCTATGCCCAGATTAGAATGAATCTGTGCACTCACATATTAAATGAACTGAAATCAGTAGTGTGATCTCCAGTTTTGATATAAGGAATGAGAGAACTGACAGCTGTTATTTTAATCAGCCTGTCTTAGTTGTTTTAATTCTAAGTATCATAAAGTAATCTGGTAACATCTGGACTGACGAGTTTACTGTCAGCATTTTAATCGCTAGTTTAAAGGCTGTAGGTCGCAGCTCTAATGCTCTAACACTGTATAAATGTAATAGGGCTCAGTGCTAATAGTCTGAGCTGCTTCAAGCTTTATTTGTGAAGACCACAGCAGCGTAAAAAAAACGTAGCTAGCTTGTACAGCTGCGACGTAAAAGATTCATAAGCTAAGATGACCTTAAAATAACAGGGATACGTGCGGTGATGCTAGCATTAGCCACGTCAGCACGTTACCTTCAATAGGTGGTCAGACTGAGTAAAGAGGTGCACAGTCAGAGGTTCAGTTCTCCTTTTCACTACAGGGTCCCTTCATTCTTCACATATCCGTGTCGAGCCGAGTGTAAATCCCGAGGCTGAACGGCCTTTGTACAAGCACACACGCCTCTTAGCAGGGCAAAGCTATGAGCAAGAAAAATTCAGGCTGGCAGCCTGTGTCTGTCCAACCAATCAGAGAGCTCCTTACATCTCACGGTGTGGCTAATTTGTATTGCAGAAAGATTTTTTAAAATGAAGTTACTAATCCAGTTGCTAATGCAAATGTAAATCCCTGAGCTAATCCGTGAGCGAACAGGAAAGGGAAATGGATTTTGAAATGAGAAGTGGAATTTAAAAAGCATTTTGAAAATAAGTTTTTTAAATTGGAATTCGGAAAAGGTTTTTGAAATGAATTTTTTAAAAAACATTTTAAAAATCAGTTTTCTAATGTGGAATTCAAAAATAAATTTGCAAATGCAGAATTAAGTGTGCCTATGCGAAGGCACACTTATTACTATTGCTCGGATTTATTATTATTATTATTCTTTTTCCGCCTGAAATTTTGGACCGTAACTCATCCCACAGTTTTGACACAAGCTTCATATATGTTATATCATTTTGTGCGGCTGGATCAGGAATGAGTTGCTATGCCTTTTGGTGTTTATTACTTCTATAGTTTTTTAAATATGAATATTTTAATGCAAGTTTTTGCCCATTGGAATGAATGGGAACGAACGAAAGTGAAACTTAACTTACTTTGTGGTGTGTTTGCTCACTCACTTAATTTGTGGTGTGTTGGCTCACTCTAGTGGTATGTCCCCGTATTTGGATTACCATAATGACGACAATATCAACGGCGCGCACAGCGTCGGTGCTTTCAGGAACCATTGGAATTCTTAAGGTTGCACGAAGCATTGAATAGTTACGGTAACGGCAAGGGTGTATGCTTGGTGGAAAACTGCATATCCCACAATTCAAAGCACGCCTCTACCAGTCAAACAATGGCGGCTGCCACTTGGTTTAATATATTCCTCTTATTTGTGTTTCTAGGTCACAAAGTAAACTTTTAAGATATTTTCAGGTGAGAATGTGGGTGTGTAAACGTCAAATATCTGCTCGTTTTGTCAAAACATCCCATATTGGCAACAGATTTTTCACGATGTTGCGCCGCTTCACTCAAAAGCACCCAGGCTTGGCTTTCAGTGAGGCGTCTCTAACTCCTTTCATCCCCGATAGCTCCGCAAACAGTCTTTGTCTTAGCTGGACTTATTTTTCGTTTATATGGGCCGATGATGCTGGTCGATGAGGAAAAACTAACTGAGTTGTTTGGTGGTGGCTAACGCGGAGCTAGCTAGCCACCGGTATGTGTCTCTTTCCCCTCATATGTGGGGAAAGAAACATGCGAGGCGGCCGCCGATCGACCGGTTTTCAGGTGAGAATGTAGGTGTGTAAACGTCAAATATCTGCTCGTTTTGTCAAAACATCCCATATTAGCAACAGATTTCTCACGATGTTGCTGCTAGCCGGCTAGCTAGTTCGGCCGGCCGGCTAGCCGGCTAGCTAGCTCGGCTAGCTAGTGCCGCTTCGCTCAAAAGCACCCAGGCTTGGCTTTCAGTGAGGCGTCTCTAACTCCTTTCACCCCCGATCGCTCCGCAAACAGTCTTTGTATTAGCTGGACTTATTTTTCGTTTATATGGGCCGATGATGCTGGTCGATGTGGAAAAAATAACTGAGTTGTTCATATACCGGTGGCTAGCTAGCTCCGCGTTAGCCACCGGTATATGTCTCTTCCCCTCGTATGCGGGGAAAGAAACACCGATCGACCGGTGGTGGCTAACGCGGAGCTCAATCGTGGATAAGGGAAACCCAATGCAGGAGAAGCAGGCGGCTGGTGAACTGAATTTCAGGTAAGACGTTATTAACTGCACTCTATTTGGGTCAGATATAAACCGAGTTTAGGTGTAGTTTATTTTCGTTGTGCTGACAGTTACAATAACTGTACTGCGTGCTAGCTAGCAGACGGAGTTTCTATACAGCTGTGCGCGCTAAGTTACTGATTTTGAACTTTATGACAGCCTCCCCTATTTTCAGGCGAGAATGTAGGGGTGTAAACTTCAAATATCTGCTCGTTTTATCAAGAAGTCCCATATCTCTCACGATGTTACTGCTAGCGCCGCATGGCAGCTAGCTGGCTAGGGCGGCTTGGCTGACATCTAGGCCGGGCTGACTGATACCCAGGCCGGCTCACGCTCTCGTTTCACCGCCGCATGGCGGCTAGCTGGCTAGCGCGGCTTGGCTGCCACCCAGGTCGGGCTGGCTGACACCCAGGCTGGGCTGGCTGACACCCAGGCCCGCTCACGCTGTCGTGTCACCCCTAGTCTTTCGTGATGACTCTTGGTTGGCTGCTGGACTTATTTTTCATTTATATGGGCTGGTGATTCAGTATGAGTGTCCGGTGAACTGAATGTCAGGTAAGACGTTATGTATATGTAAGGTAGTGACTGGAATAAGTCACAAGGTGTCGCTGTTGAGCTGCATATATGTTGTAAATTTTAGCAATTTTGACCATTTGTCCTCTGCAGGACACCGTAGTTCAGATTTCTCGTTCGCGTGGGCGCCATCTTGGTTCAGTGTTTACTGTGATGTGCAAAGGTAAGCACTGTCAGTGGCGAACTGCATTGGTTTTGTTTAAAAATAAGTGTTCCACTGTGTAAAATAGCGGTTTGTCATTTAAGCCGAGCAAATATTTTGTTTATTGAGAGGTTCATGTATTGTCTGATGAGAGTATGAGACAAAGATATACTTTTCTTTCTTACTCTCATATAAAATATTTAGCTTTTATTAAATAGTTATCTGAATCTTACAACCAAAGTTTGTATAATAATACACAAGATTGGCTGTAGACCATTGTTAATCATTCAGAACACTGTGTAAAAATAACAAAAAACAAAAAGTGAATGAAAAGTGCATAAATATTTATTTTACGTGTTTGATGTGTGTGGCAGGGCGTGGTCTGCAGTGCCGCTGCAGGGGAGGTGGACCCACCTCAGCGGCATCTGCAATCACGCCTCTCAGGTGTAAAGTCTGTGCTCTCTCTGCTTTTTTTTTTTTTTTTTTTTTTGTGTATGTGTCGGGCTATGAGATGAAAAGCTACAGCCGGCTGTGTGGGTACAGCAACTATGTGTGAAAAGTGGTCCATAACGTAATGCTTCAAAGTGTGTTCATGCAAACATTGTCAGGTCTGCTTATGAACCTCTGCGCACAGCGTCTACAAATTGGGGCTGTACGAAGTCACCTCATCTTTACACAAAACTGTAAGCTGTCATCTGTGAGGCGCGAGTGGTGTTTGGTTTTACCATAGTTCATGGTGGAGAATGGCTGCTCCGCTGAGTTTTGCTCTCTGTAGCCGTTTGAATGGCAAACTATACTGATTAGCGGCGGCATAGGCACACTTAAAATTTCTTCAGAAATTTTCGCTTTCTAGTTTATTCTACAATTTATTATTCAAGCACAGAATTCTTCATTTTGATGCGCGTGGCTTTTGTGGTCTTCCATAAATTTCACAATATATAAACTATTCTATAATCCAAACTGGGAATTTAGGTCATTGTAGGGTGGAGAATTTCACAGATTACCCACAATTCCTCTTGTCTATATCCCAGCGGATTGTCCACCCTGTAGCTCACCCCCAGTGTGATGACCATGAAACACGCTGGCATTCCTAACAGGACACAACAAATCAAAACAACAGTTTAAGTAAAATGAAATTTAACCTGAGTAGCGTAAGACCGCGGTGATCTGAAAATGATGTGCCGGGGGTTTGCGGATGTAACTGTGTATCACTGCAAAATGTTCAGTTTTTATTTTAATTTTGTTTTAAACTAAAATAAATGATAAGAAGCTCAAGATTTTAGCACAGTGCTGTGTATCTGCATTCCTTAATGTTATGACTTTTTTCCTTCTAATTATACTACTTTAAAGTTCTTCTAAAATATTTCAAATTTGGCATTTTTGTTTTCTTTCTGAATGTCCTACCCCATCCCAGAGTCACACTCAGTGGAGTCCAGTGTGTTGGCAGGCTGCGGCGCATTGACCGGACCAGCAGCACCAGTTGAGTGCTGTATACACTGTTCCACATGAAGGTGGCCATCAGGAGGAAGTGCAGCAGAGCTGCTACAGCCGTACACGAGCCGCGGTCTGGTTCTATGTGTTCATCAGAGTTCAAGATGTTGTTGATCCGATCATCACTCTGCACCTTAGTGTCGTTCTGTCTGCTGGAGTTTTGGACTCCAGAGAGGAAGGTGATGATGAAGGCCAGCAGGCTGAGGTAGATGCACAGCAGAGCCAGCTTTGAATTCAAGTTACTTGGCTGCCCATGAGACTTGCTGAAGAAGCTACAGAGAGAAAAATAACAAAGAAGTTTTAATATCTTTTAAGTTTTGGTATTTCTTAAAGAAAAACACCACAAAAATATATATATAAAAACAGACAGACAGCAATTTTACTACTTTTAGACTTTATAGGTCAAATAAAATAATCAAAGCATTAATGTAAAATGAAAATAACTATTTGTTGCATCCAAGAAAGTTTCAGTTTGTTAAATAACAACTAGAAGTGTTTGGTAAATGTGATGAGAGAATTTTAATGCAGCATAATTAAACATCATTTCTTATCTGTGAAGTAACCCAAACTTACTTTTCTTTAATGTGATAAATGATCGTCACAACCAAACCCAGAATAGAAAGAGAAAGTCCCACAATGGAGATCACACCCAGAGCTTCTGCATACTCGTAGTTCTCTCTGTATGACTGAAAAATAGGATTCAGATTTAAACTCATAAAATATCTGCGATGAGTTAGATTTACATTTTGAGCTATGTCATGACCAAGGTTTAACAAGCTGTTGTTGAGGTTTTTTTGTATGATATACATGACATATATACCTGTATACACTTGACATATACTCACATATATACTATGTAATCATATATACTCATATACACTATATATATATATATATATATATATATATTAGGGGTGCAACGATACACAAAATTCACGGTTCGGTTCGGTTCGATACTTTGTTGTCACGGTTCGATATTTTTTCGATACAAAAAAATGTTCATGCCTTTTTAATTTGTCATTTATTAAAATTATAAATATATATTTTAACTCAAAAGTACAGTTTTTAAATTTAACCCTAACCCTTGTGCGCGTTTTTTATTTTGACAGCGAATGCGCACCTGCGGACCACTTATGTGCAGCCCCGGTTATTTAGCTTGTCATATTGCAGCCACAGAAATTCTTTTGTCCATGAAACCATAAAGCTGCACTTTCTTTTTGCCTTATAGTCTGATTTGTCATAACTTCTCCGTTTTGTGGTAAGCTTTTCTTTGGCTGTCACTTCTTCACCCCGACCTGTCTTATTTGGCTCAGCAGAACTAAAATATATATACTGCTACTTTTACACACGGACTCACATAAGCTCAGCGATTCTCTGCGCGATCAACCTCTCACATGTTTAAGCTTGCTGCGGGAGATTTCACTTGTCATGTTTGCATAGTAAGCTAACGATTAATAAGACGATGTCAGAGGAATTGGTGCACAAATTATCATCACTCACAGATCAGTGCTGTCATTGCAAAGTGAAAGCAAAAAAACAAGCGCAAATTCAAACGCGATTTCAATATGTCACATATTGACAGTGGCTCACCGATGCCAATGACATAATTACCCAGCTACATTTCTGAAAGAATGCAAAAGCATTGACATATATTTTTCCTACAATAGCCCGACGGGCAGGGCAGAGAGATTTTTGTAGCCCGACTGGAAAGATCGCTAGCTCCGGGACGTCGGGCTAGCGATTTTGCAAGCCCTGTATCTGATTGAGGAATCACTCATCTTTGGAAAAGAGAGTTTATTACAGAGAAATGTCTCTTTCCAAAATAAAAGCTATACTATCCGCTTCTTCTGGGCTATATTCTCAGCAGCATAAGGAGAATCACGTGCTAACAGCTGTCTAAATGACTCGGCTAAAGTTAGTAGCATGCTTGTTGTTTTTGTCTTTGCACTAGGATGATGTCGGCGTAAATGTGCAGTCATATTCGTTGTGTTCCCACTAGTGCTTTCAGGTTAATCTCGTTGAAATGACCTTAACGCCACAACACGGCAAATCTCCGTTAACGAGCTACCGCCGATCGCCCCGTGCATGGGGCTAGACGGCCAACACGTTAACGAGCTAACTGCGCTAACACACTAGTTCACACCAATGTAATTAAGCATTGCATGGCACATCCAACATACTGTTTTACTTTAGTTCATGACTCGCTTACCTTCAGGGTCATACGTCACATGAAAACCAAAATAATTCCAAACGCCAGATCTGAATGAGGGTGGGGGAGGTCCATCTTGCAAGGAGAGCTTAACTTCTGTCTCGCTAGCTTGCCCTGCGCTCTTCCTCCTGACTATGCTGTCTGTGTTGAGTGCTCAGTGGATCTGCGCTCGACAGTGCAGCCTAGGCGGAGTAGTCGAACTCAGATTCACTGAGCGCTCAACACAGACAGCATCGTCAGAAGGAAAGTTGATAAAGTAAATTACAAATGTTGTATTGTTCGATACATATGCGTACCGAACCGAAAGCACTGTATCGAACGGTTCAATATCGATACAAATATCGTTGCACCCCTAATATATATATATATATATATATATATATATATATATACAGTTTTGGGGAGTAACGGAATACATGTACCGCCGTTACGTATTTAAAATACAAAATATGAGTAACTGTATTCCGTTACAGTTACCGTTTAAAAAGGTGGTATTCAGAATACAGTTACTTTGTTGAAATAAATGGATTACACTGCGGTACTTTCCTGTTTCATTTTGTCGCGGGTCAGGACTGTTTGGGTTTTGTTTGACAGCTACGTTCTGTTGTTCCAGGCGGCAGTGTTACGGTTGCCATGGTTACCGGGCGACGCTCTCTCTCTCTCTCTGCGACTGTGTGTTTCCTGGGTGAGAGAGCGCCTTTTCGTTTTTGTTGTGCTAAGCTAACAGGCAGAATGCTACAAGCATAGCTCTAAAGAATGTAGCATCATGGGCAGTGTATTCCGTGTTGCAGGGAGAATGGACTGCCATACACGTTAGGGGTCTGTGAGCGCGAGGAGGGAGAAAAAGGGGAGTGGAAAGGTACGAGTTGTCACTGAGGAAAAACGGGAGCTGGAAGCATGTAAATATAATAATAACCACTGCAGCCAAGAAGAGTGCCTGACGAGCCCAGTTGTAAGTAAGCTATGAAGACTCGACTGTACACCGTGTTCGTGTTTTCCTCCGAAAACAATAAGTTCCGTTGGAGCAGCCTTTCAACGCCTCTCTCTGTCTCTCGCAAGAAAAGTTGACCCACACAACAAAGTAAAGCTATTTTTCAGCTACGAGCCGACAGGGACCCCGCCGTATTAGTCAGAGGTCCCTTTACTACAGTTCGGAGTCGCGGACCTTCAGTAATAGTAATAAATCACACAGCAATAGTACATTCACGTTGTTGTAAAAAGCATGATACTATATTAAGTAATCCAAAGTATTCAGAATACGTTACTGTCATTGAGTAACGTAACGGAATACGTTACAGAATACATTTTGGGGCATGTATTCTGTATTCTGTAATGGAATACATTTTAAAAGTAACCTTCCCAACACTGTATATATATATATATATATATATATATATATATATATATATATATATATATATATATATATATATATAACAGCTAAGATACTGCGCAGGACCCTCAAGCTCCCAGGCCTCTGGTAGAGGACCCGAGCTTGAAGGATAAACCGCCCGCAGGGGGGCGTGCTGGGTGTTTTTTTTTATATATATATATATACCTATACTGGAGTATTTTATATAATGGAATCACATGTTCGAGATCACAAGACCCACATATTTAAGTCAAATATTATCTCTAATTATATTAATGAAGTTTGTGCCACTTGTTGTATGAACACATGTTGTTCAATACTGTTTGAAAATGTAGTAATTAGGATCAGTAAGTAACCTTTGATTGTGTTAAGGCCAACGGTGACTAGTCCAAACATAGGGTTAATTCAGCTTGGCACTGCTAGAGCATGCACCTGGGACCCTTTTTCTCCGTGCTCATCTTTTTTGCTCCACGTTGTGTCCAGCCCTTTCATAGCCTATACAGTAAACAAACCTGGCCCCGGTGGGCATGCACCTGGGATTCAGTTTCTCGCATCAGCCGCCAGAAGATGAGAAAAACCCTTTCTTAGCATAGATACCAGTTTACTTCTGACAAGTGCACCTGACAAAATTGTCAAATTGATTAACTGTTAGCTGCCGTTCTGCAAACTTTTGGAATCACTTTGGCCATAAAACCGATGAAGGGACACATTTCAAAATGATGGATGTAAGACTGGTGCTTGAAAAGTTATGGGGTAGGGTCAGAAAGGTATGTAACATAAGTGTAAGATTAAAAGAAAAGAGCAAGGTGCAAGTATGATTAACAATGGATTGGAGAAAAGTATCAATAATTGAGATAATATTGACATTTGTAGATTTGATCGGAAATTCCTGCTCCTCCTCCTGCTGTTGGGTGGAAATTTACCAAACAACAGGAGGAGCAGTCACTGATCCTTTGTAAGAGGAGGGTCGATATGCCCCAGACTGCTGCTTTTTTCCTTTTTGTCATTTTGTGTGTTGTTGCTGTTTGTGCTTTAAGACCCTACACCCCAGGGTTTGCTTTGCTTGCTTTCCATGTGTTTTTTTGCTGTAAATGTACTGTTCTGCTCTTCATATGACACTGTTTAATAAACTCTGTTCCAAGAATTCTAGTCTTTTCCAGAGGATCTTTCTGAGTGTTTTGGTTTTAATTGGATCTGAAGGTTATCATATAGGCTTCAAAATTTGCAACCCAACACTGTAACGTCATCTATTGCCCTGAAAAGTTGTGACCCTCACCCAGAGAGCAGCAAAGTTGGTGGTGTGGTTACAGAAACACCTCATGAGTCCATCTGAAGTGTTTCCTTTAGAGCAACCACTGGTGCTCCAGTCCTTCTGACTGTAGTTCCAGAAAACACAAGAGAAGTCGTACAGAGACGTCCCACTTATGTTCTGAAACAGAAATACACAGCCTTACTCAGAAATCCACAACTCTGATTTACATGTAAACATACCATTTGCTTTCAAAAGCAGATGGTATGTTTCACATTTTTAGAGTTTATTGCACATATGCAGTTCTTTGAAAATAACACAGAACCATTTTAACAATAAAAACACAACTGGTCATAAGTTAGGTATGAATATTTTACTTTGTGATGTGTATATTGGTATTGTTCTATTTTTACACCATTATCACAGCTGCCACAGCTACTGCAAGTTTATTAATTTATCTGTCTCATAAAAAACACCATAAACACTGCTCACTATCTGTGTGCCCTAAACCTGCAGATAAAGGTCAAACATGATACATTGTCAGGTGAGATCACAAGTTATTGAAGGAAAAGCTGTCCAGTGGTCACCATTATCTGAAATCTTGAAGATAAAACTGACTTAAAATAGGTCAACAAATATTAAAATTGACTTTAATTTGAAATGCTGGATTTCTTACTCTTGGCCTGAACATCATCTCCACATGTTGTGGCACCATGTTGGGTTCCTGCCCTCTGACGCTGGCTGACAGGACCCTGATGGTGGCCCGTCGCCTCAAGTAGAGTTTTGAACGGAAGAAACGATCGTTCTGATAGAGAACGAAACCCAGAGAGACGTTTGAGTCTGTCTGACGACTTCTGACACCTTTGCCTGACATAAGAGAAAGAAATCCACTGCAGTTGGTAAACTTTTGTGTGGGTGTAACAAGAACTGACAATGTCTGAAATAGAAGTGCTCCATTTTTATTAATAACAAACTAAAACAGCTCTCTTAAATACCTCTTAGTGACACCTTAAGCATCTTAACAAGTTCTGTTGTAAGACCGTGTAAGTCTAGAAAACTCACCTTGAGGGAATCTTACATAAATGAGGGCATCAGCTATGAAACCGTTTTCCACCACAACCTGTGTTGCATTTGTGTTCAGCTGAATTCTCTCAGCTACAAAACTGCCAGATGTCCCTGTAGCAGCAAAAGAAGTGAGCTGTTTGTGATCACATAATAAAAAATGCAGAACCTTACCACTGGATCTTTAATCTTAAAGCTACAAATATTGAAATTGTTCCACTACATCATGATATTCTGAGAGGAGACCTGTGGGTGCCTGTCCATGCAAGAACCTGGACAACTGTGGGGGGAACACAAACAGTTCTGTTAACTGTCCCCACTTCAACACAGTTTTACAGTTTAAAGATTCCCTAAAACCACAATATTTCTTGACTTGACGCACACCGGTGGATCTAATATCTATCTGAACAGATATGCCTTGAATGTTAAAAGTTTTATTAGCGTATTTTTATTAGTGTCAAATTTAGTCAAATTTGACCCAAACTGTATGTAAGGGATGAAAAGCAGTAAAATGGGGGAAAAAAATTAAAAAATTGGAGGATTACTTTTCTTTAACACCGTTTCTCACTGACCTCTAAGAGAAGTGAACTGGACTCCCTGAGTGTTTGCAGCAGGGATCTGTGCCGACTGGACCACCAGGTTTGGCTGAACCACCTGAGATTGAGATGCATTGAGACTGAGGCTGAGGTTCACTGAGAGCTGGTCCAGAGTCACCGTCAGCCTGGACATAACAAACAAAAGCCACCACAAAACAGGCTGTCTTACACTCACTGGTCTGTTAGATACATTTACAAAATTGCTCATTAATGAAAGTATCTAATTAGCAAATCACATGGCAGTGACTCAGTACATGCATGCATATAGACATAGTCAAGATGACCATCTTGGATTTCAAACTGATCATTAGAATGGGGACAGGTTGGGACTTTGAATGTAGTTTTTTGGTGTCAAATGCACTGGTCTGAGTATTTTGGAAACTGATGATCTGCTGGGATATTTGCTTAAAATGGGTGTTCTCTTTAAATGTCGAGTTTACAGAAAACAGCCTGAAAAAGGGTTTATGGGTGTGCAACCAAAAAATCTCTAGCAATTGTGCAATGCTATCATGACAATATGGACCAAAATTTGAGGAACATTTCCAGCAAATTGTTGAATCTATGCAGTTCTGAAGTTAAAAGAGCATCAGTCCAACCTGCAACAATCAATGTGTATTTAATGAAGTACCTAGTGAGTATAGTTGCTTTAAACCAGGAAAAGCGGCTAATTTAAGCTAAACACAATTGAAGACATCATATGAGTTAATAGATTAATATTTTATTCTTAGTACTTCACCCCAGAGTTGTGTTGTTTTCCTCTGTGTCATCTGATACAGTGGTGTTCAGCAGCTGACTGACCGTTGCTACTGCTGCCACTCTGACACTCTGCAACACAAACGTGAACCAGGATGCTACAGTCAGTAACTACTGATGCTACAGCAGGGTTTTTTCTTAAGTTTTGTTGACTGTTTGTACCTCTGTGGCGTTTGCAGACAGCAGCAGTGTGTTGGCGATCTCAGCCGCTGCCGTAACATTTTCGGCCGTCAGCTCTTCTGGGTTGGATGTCAGAATCTGAGTGCTGGTTGCCAGCATCTCTAAATCAGCTGGACTGGTCAGCTGAGTGGAAGAAATACGTTTTTTCTTTTTTTTTTGTGGTCCTTAAATGAATGTGTAATCCTGTGCATGTCTTGCTGCCTTTTTACCGGATTACATAAAATACTCAGTTCAAGCTGCAACTGTATAAGACCATCAAGTAATAAGTCTTCAGAAGAATAAAAACAGTTCTTACATTTTGTTGTATATCACTGAGTGTCAGGTTACACTGGAAGATATGTAGAGTGTTGAAACCTGGTGATTCGCTCATGAACAAGCATCTGGTTGAAGCCTGAGGTTTTCCAGCTGAGTAGGGATAGAAAGACAAACATCACTACATTGGGGTGTACCTGACAAAGTGATGTTGGACTGAAGGGATGACTTACCGCCACTTGTTCCCACTTCACATATTTCATCAGAATATGCGAACCAACCAATGGGTGTACGGGGGAACCTGAATCCTTCAAATCGTTGGGCTGCGCAGAAATTTACTAAGAAGACAAAGGTATTAAAATATAGGCAGAAAAAACATATAATTAGTTATTTATATAAAAATACAAAAGTGGAAAAAAATCGATGATCCATGTTTAGAGAAAGAATTTGAGTTTCAGTGATTATTTACAATCTGAATGCTGTTGACTGTTGACCAATCACATTTGAGCGGACTCCAATGGCATGTTCTTTTAAAATTGCATTTGCATAACCATCTCTTATTGTTTTGTTTTGTTTTATAACTGAGACAGGATTTTTGTAGTTTAAAAGCTGGATCACACAATAAAGTAAAGACCCGAAGATCCTAAGTTTGGACATGTAATGACTGCTCAAAGTGTTGGTTAGTTATTTATTTCAGTTAACGATCTGGTTGTGGTTTCCCACATCTTTATATCACAGAAAAAATGTAATTTATGTAAACTTTAATGTAACAACAAATATAAAAGTAAATTACTGACACAAAGCATCAGCTTGCGGCTAATAGCATCACATAGTTGCTGTTTTCTGCAAATCTAAAAAGTGAACAAAAAATTCAACCTTCTTTGTTTGTTTGTTTGTTTGTTCTTACCTTCTGAGCATGTCTCTCCAGTCCATTCATCAGGACAGAGGCAGACACCGTTTACGTTTTCCCCTCCATTATCACATTTCAGGGCAGTGGTGGTAGGCGGGGTAACTGAAGTTGGAGATGTAGTACTAGTAGAAGTAGAAGGTGTAGTGTAAGTTTTAGATGTAGTAATAGGAATTGTTGGGGAAGTAGTAAAGTTTTGTGTAATAGTAGTAACATTTGGTGCAGTAGTAATGTTTTGTGTAGTTGCAGTAATTTTTTGTGTAGTAGTAGCAGTAGTGCTTGGAGTACTAGTAATGTTTTGTGTAGTACTAGTAATGTTTTGTGTAGCAGTAGTGATGCTTGGTGCAGTGGTAATGTTTTGTGTGGCAGTAGTAATGTTTTGTGTAGCAGTAGTAATGCTTGATGCAGTAGTAATGTTTTGTGTAGTAGTAAGGCTTGGTGCAGTAGTAATGTTTTGTGTAGTACTTGTAATGTTTTGTGTAGCAGTAGTGATGCTTGGTGCAGTAGTAATGTTTTGTGTAGTACTAGTAATGTTTTGTGTAGCAGTAGTGATGATTGGTGCAGTAGTAATGTTTTGTGTAGCAGTAGTGATGCTCGGTGCAATAGTAATGTTTTGTGTAGTATTTGTAATGCTTGGTACAGTAGCAATGTTTTGTGTAATAGTAGCAGTAGTGCTTGGAGTAGTAGCAATGTGTTGTGTAGTAGTAGCAGTAGCACTTGGTGCAGTAGTAATGTTTTGTGTAGTACTAGTAATGTTTTGTGTAGCAGTAGTGATGCTTGGTGCAGTAGTAATGTTTTGTGTAGCAGTAGTGATGCTCGGTGCAGTAGTAATGTTTTGTGCAGTAGTAATGTTTTGTGTGGTACTAGTAATGTTTTGTGTAGCAGTAGTGATGCTTGGTGCAGTAGTAATGTTTTGTGTAGCAGTAGTGATGCTCGGTGCAGTAGTAATGTTTTGTGTAGTAGTAAGGTTTGGTGCAGTAGTAATGTTTTGTGTGGCAGTAGTAATGTTTTGTGTAGCAGTAGTGATGCTTGGTGCAGTAGTAATGTTTTGTGTAGTGCTAGTAATGTTTCGTGTAGCAGTAGTGATGCTTGGTGCAGTAGTAATGTTTTGTGTAGCAGTAGTGATGCTTGGTGCAGTAGTAATGTTTTGTGTAGTAGTAAGGTTTGGTGCAGTAGTAATGTTTTGTGTAGTACTAGTAATGTTTTGTGTAGCAGTAGTGATGCTTGGTGCAGTAGTAATGTTTTGTGTAGCAGTAGTGATGCTTGGTGCAGTAGTAATGTTTTGTGTAGTAGTAAGGTTTGGTGCAGTAGTAATGTTTTGTGTGGCAGTAGTAATGTTTTGTGTAGCAGTAGTGATGCTTGGTGCAGTAGTAATGTTTTGTGTAGTGCTAGTAATGTTTCGTGTAGCAGTAGTGATGCTTGGTGCAGTAGTAATGTTTTGTGTACTACTAGTAATGTTTTGTGTAGCAGTAGTGATGCTCGGTGCAGTAGTAATGTTTTGTGTAGCAGTAGTGATGCTTGGTGCAGTAGTAATGTTTTGTGTAGTACTAGTAATGTTTTGTGTAGCAGTAGTGATGCTTGGTGCAGTAGTAATGTTTTGTGTAGTACTAGTAATGTTTTGTGTAGCAGTAGTGATGCTTGGTGCAGTAGTAATGTTTTGTGTGGCAGTAGTAATGTTTTGTGTAGCAGTAGTAATGCTCGATGCAGTAGTAATGTTTTGTGTAGTACTAGTAATGTTTTGTGTAGCAGTAGTGATGCTTGGTGCAGTAGTAATGTTTTGTGTGGCAGTAGTGATGCTTGGTGCAGTAGTAATGTTTTGTGTGGCAGTAGTGATGCTTGGTGCAGTAGTAATGTTTTGTGTGGCAGTAGTAATGCTTGATGCAGTAGTAATGTTTTGTGTAGCAGTAGTAATGCTTGATGCAGTAGTAATGTTTTGTGTAGCAGTAGTAATGCTTGGTGCAGTAGTAATGTTTTGTGTAGCAGTAGTGATGCTTGATGCAGTAGTAATGTTTTGTGTGGCAGTAGTAATGCTTGATGCAGTAATAATGTTTTGTGTAGTAGTAAGGCTTGGTGCAGTAATGCTTTGTGAAGCGGTGAAGCTTGGTGTAGTAGTAATATTTTGTGAGGTAGTAGAATGATCAGGAAGAGCAGTGGGCAGGAGTGCAGTAGTTGCAGTATCAGGGATGTCTGTTATTGCAGTCAACTCTGCTCCAGCTGTGGAGGAGGCTAAAGGAACAGATGTGGGAAACGCATCAGCATTACAATGATCAGTTTGACATTAGCAATGTTAACATGCTTTGTAATTAGTGATTGTCAGCAGAAGTGATATGTAAAAAACAAATACTATAAAAGTACTACAAATTAAATGTAGAGTATTTTCTGTGCTTACCATGACTTTAGTGTGTTGTTATTAAACACAATGCACAGCTTAGGCTGATACAGATAGTTTTACAGGTACTGCACATTAAAATGATGATCTGATGGTAGCAGTACAGGTAGAATCAGGACTACTCAGGTCATTCAATTTCAACCTGAGGGGACATGAACATCTGAACCCTGATATCCAGTAATGTTTTTTTCAGTCTGAAATAAAAGTCTGAATGACAAAAATGCACTCAGTACTAAAATCTATTAATATGGAGCTCCTGAAAGGTAATAGCGAATGATTTATTGTGTAACACTTCTGTTTTCTATAACTTTTTTAAGAAAAACACCAATGTGTCAATTAAGTACAAGTCTACAATCTAGTGTTGCAACTAATTAATAACTCTTTACTTGATAATGATGCCTAGGCTTGATCCACAGAGAAAATCTGGGCTGTTTTATGATGAACTGTTATGTTTTATAGCTGGGCACTGCTCATTATGATTATGGGACACACATAACAGTCATAGTTTTGCAAACAATTAATCTCGAGCAGTGACATAAAAAATAGAAAAAAAAAAGTGTTTAACAGACACTGCATAGATCACTGTGAGCATCAACATCTATATGATGTAGAAAAATAATTAATACAAATTCTGCACTCGTGTGTGTATATACTGGTATATATATCACAGAGTTTGCTAGTTATAAAGATAATGACAAAGAAAAGTCTTGATACATGCTCAATCATCCAGGCAAGGAAATCCCAAAAACTTGAGTCTGTTCATTTGGATGTAGCATCTTTAGTGGAAGAAACAGCAGTCATCAAAGTGATTTCTTTAGTCTCACAATTTTTATATTAACAATCAAGGAACTGACCTCCCAGCCCATTTTTCATTCAGTGGGCTGGTATCAGTCATTGTGCAAATGTACTGTTTATAAGGTTGGGGAATCCACCAGTCACCTGAGACTAAATAAGTCACTTGGATGACTTAGGAGGAAATGTTTCGCCCACTGAAAACGCTACGTCCAGATGAACAGAATCAACTTTTGGGGAATGACAAATTAACCAAAACAATAAAATGACATGTTTTTTCATTCTGTTGCTGAGATGTTTTTAATTGTTGGGTTAAGTCTGAGAAAAGCAAAAAAAAAAATAGACAAATTATATAAATAATTTTATATATTGCATGCATAACTTATCTGTTCATACTGTAAACATTAGTTTAACCTTATTTATCTAAAATTAAGAAAAATCAAGTTTGACTTAGATGAGATTTCAGTGATGACTAAAATAATAGTTATTGTTGTCAAGGAAAAAATACAGTAGAAATTGTGTTTTATGGTATCATATGATGTGACTTAGGTCACACTGTGTCTCACTAACAACTCCAGAAATGCCAGCAACAATCAGATAAACTCAGTTGTTCTTACCCAGAGTGAAAACGAGCCAAACCCAGCCATCCATGATGATGAGCTGCTGCAAATCAGATTTCCTGTTTGTCCGGTTTGGTAAAAGTTTACATATTTAAAGACGCCACTCTGTGAGTCTGCATGAAACCATTCAGCTGCATTATTCTGCTTCACAATGAGCCACCAGATCATATAACACATGATTGTTTTACTGCACGTTTTTTTCAGGAAAAAGTTCCTGTATCGACTGTCTTTGCTCATAAGTTACCTATAAAGGACTTTGAACTGCAGTCCACCTTCGTAAAAGGTGCTAAATCAATAAATATGGTGTGATTTACCGTAGGGAAGGTGCACAGTGTGAAACCTGAAGTGTCACTGGTAAATCTCAGTATCTGCAAACTTTTAATGTCGTTTTTGTTTTTATTGTAAAACGATCAAGGACCTACAGTCAGCAGCAGTGAAGGTAAAGGTAACACGTGTTCATCAAAAACAGGTCAAAATAATAGAAACACCATAATACTGTATAGCAGTGATGTCCAACTCATTTTACATCATGGACCATGCACCACCCACTTTGCCTTTAAGTGGTCCTGACCAGTGAAACCCTTCTTTTTGTCACTGTACAGAAGTTTAACTGCAATCCATGAGATATCTTAATACGGGAAAAAGAAGTGTTGCTACAATCGTATGTCTTTTTTTTCTACATGATAGAGAAATGCTAATGTAGTTAATCAAAGAAATCTGTCAGCATGACTCTTTGGGTTTAAACTTTAAACAATCATTTTGTAAAATTACAGAGACGTCCTGGTAGCTCACTGTCCTCTACCTTTTTATTATTATTATTATTATTATTATTATTATTATTATTATGAGCCGATTGTAAAATAAATAAATAAATAACAGAGAGATTTCTATAGTACACAAAGAAAATGCAACTTTTCTGTCATTGAACTTTTTATCTATTACTTAATTACTTTAGTGTGGTATGAATGCACATGGGGGAGGTCTTTATCAGCAGGACAAGCAGTAAAACTCATGAAAATACAGTTAAAATCGAACATTTATGAGCCGACTGTGAGCCTCGAGCCTTACATTTGACACCCACTCTAATAATTTAGAGCCAGTTTACAGGGACTGGCTGTAAATTATTCAGTAGGGGGAGTTTTGTTTTAGGACAATTTAACCCAGAATTCAAATGTACAGAGAAAACAAGTAATGACCACTGATGCTGACCATGCTGGTGGCTGCCCACTGCTCCTTATGAGTTAAATGGAACAAAAAAGCTTCCATGTTTGGGTCAACCTCTCTACACCTGAAATGTAAATCATTATTAGGCAAAAGTGAGGAACATCAACTCCAAGTCCCAAAAAGTTGACTCTGTTCATCTGGACGTAGCGTTTTCAGTGGGAGAAACGTTTCGTCACTCATCTAAGTGACTTCTTCAGTCTCAGCTGACTGCAGGTTTCCCCAATCTTATAAACAGTACATTTGTATAATGAGAAACTAGCACCACTGAAGGAACAGTAGGCTAGGAGGTTAGTTTCTTCATCATAATTATGCAAATTCTCATGACCATTGATCAACAACTAGTGATCAAAGATCATTGATCAAAGACCACTGATCAAAGACGACTGATCAATGGCCATGAGTACCATTTACAGAGAGCTGGGGAATGGCTGCAATCACAGCATTGTAAGATAGTGAAAGATGTACCCATAGGCCCCCGCCTGGATTCCTCGCCTTTTCACGTAAATGGCCTCCTTGACTCCGCACTCAAACCAGCGTTCCTCCCTGTCCAGGATGTGTACATCCTCATCATTGAAAGAGTGTGCACTGGCCTGTACGTGTAAATAGACCGCAGAGTCTTGGTTTGATGAGGTAGCTCTTCTGTGTTGTGCCATCTGCTTTGGCAGAGGTTGTTTGGTTTCTCCAATAGATAAATCCTGGCAATCCTCTTGGCACTTAACAGCGTACACTATCTTACTCTGTTTGTGTCGGGGGACCCGATTCTTGGAGTGGGCTAATTTTTGGTGCAGCGTGTTTTGGGGTTTAAAAGCCACAGAGATGCAGTGTTTATAAAAAAATGTGTCTCAACTCTTCCAATACTACAGACACGTACGTGATCACTACGGGTTTTCGGCTAGGTGGCAAATTGGTCACATGCTGCCAAAGCCACCCTTGTCATTTTACAGCACTTGTACCTAGACTGACCTGGTTTAACCTAATGTTGATACCTACTTTCTTATGGCCTCTTTGTCTGACTGATGATGTTAGGGTAGGGTAAAGCCATAAATCCAGGTAACTGGAAGTTATTCTGAGTATGTTGAATTTGTTTCACAGCACAGAGCCCAGATGTTTATGGCTGTCCTTATATGTCTCACACTGTACTGAAATTGGCAAAAATTCAGCTACAGGACGCTAGCGAGACAGATCTCGGTGAACATAGAGCTAAAGGATAAAATTATTAGAATGAAAAGTCTATGTTTTATTTTAGTTTTCACAAATTCAGCATCAGTAATGTCTTGAAGTATGCTGATTGGTTGGTCAAGGATTTAGGAATAGAAGGAAACATGCTTTTTCTGCCCTTCTGGACTGGACTATCTCAAGAGCGCAGCCTGTGATCAGAAACTGAGACAGAGTTCTCTTATGTAGAAAAAATCTGCTGGCATTTGAAAGAGTGTCTGTGTGCAGAGGTGGTAATCATTGTCAGGTGACCTACATACTGATCTGCTGCACACAGTTAATGATTGAACCGCTGCTCAGTGTCTGTCTGAGGGGTTCAGAGGTTTTTGGAGGGGGGTATGTGAGGTTGGACTTGGGTGAAACTGAACTCTTTGGGTTTTCATTCAGTTAGCAGGCACCATGGCTCGGCTGGTGGAGTGTGTCCCCAACTTCTCCGAGGGCCGAAACAAAGAGGTGAGAGGAGGACTTTTCTGCCTAATTAACATTTAAACAGTTTAAAGTAAATAAGTAAAGGTGTGTGAGTATTATCAGCAAAATGTGATTCAAGTATAAATGTGCTCATTGTGAATTGAAATGCTGTTTGACTTTAGTTTTAAAGTTACAACTGCAAGTGTTTGTATTTGCTGCTTTGATCTGTGTGTTTGATTTAATAGTTTATATATCTTTGACATTGAGATGATTTTAAAAAATCTGAAAAAACTTTAGGCTCTTTTGGCAGTTTGAGATCATGAGAGAGAGAGAATCGGATGATTCCCTGTGAACAGCACTTGGTGACAGTGGGGAGGAAGAACTTCATCTTACAGGAAGTAGCCTCCCTCAGAGGAACAGCCATCTGAGGAGAAAGGAAAAGAGAAAAGAAGAGCATAGCAAGATCCTAGACTTCATTCTTCATTTGCCTTTGAATTTAAAATAAAAATATTGACAGATTTCTGGATCTTTACTGAACAGGAAGTGCATAAAATGCTAGAATATAACTTAAACTGTCAAAAACTGCGGTTCAGTAAAAAGTGACCAAGATATGGTTTAGAGTAATGAGATATGTCATTAAACATTAAACAGCTAATCTTTTTATCTTTAAACAAACAAAATATCTTTAAACTGCTCTGAAAACAGTTTAAATGTCTCAACATGAAATCTGCAGGAGACTGATGTGTTTAACGTGTGAGTGAGGTGCTCTTGAGTTCAGATTATCTGTTGAAACATTCGTTAAACAGACATTAAAGATTCCCTCCAGAGTAAAGCTGTGTACTGACCTTTGCCCTCTGTTCCCACAAGAGGAAAACAGTTCCACGGAAGTGGGAACATTAAATAATCAGCTGATTTTCTGTTTAACCACAGAAGCTGCTTGTTTTTTGACAAACTACACTGTTCTCATATTCCAGCAGCACTGGTTTGTAAAAAATCAGCTGCCAATCAAACCAGAGTACAGTCCAAATTGGACACTCACTGAAAGCATCTGATGCTTTATGATACCAAAAATACAAAACAGGTGAAGCTGAAACCCAACTTTATGAAAGAGAAAGGACGTATGTCGTTTTCAAACTGCAGCAACTGGTGTCCTCATAACAATGTAAATAAATAAATAAATAAATAAATAGAGCCGATGCAGTACATTGAGAAACATGTTCCTAATTTAAGACTTTGATACTTGTTGCTAACACAAATTCTCAATTTTTTGATGTTATCTTTGTTCTATTTCCAGTTTAATGCGGGTTTTAAATCATTTCAAATTGTTTCCATTTTATTTCAATGACAGCTGAGTGTAAATTTCTACAGTTATAGAATCAATTCTGCATAAAATTCTGGTCATTCACTTCATTGTGATGCTCATTAGAGCCATTATTACAGTCTAAACTCTGGCCACCGCAGTATCCTTACTCGCAATCCAAAGTGTTCTTGCTCTTTATCAACACAATATTTCCTTTGAGCTTGACTAACTAAAGCAGGTGAGCCACATTATTACAACTTCTCTATGAACTGTTTAGGTGATCGATGCCATCTCAGCAGCCATCTCCAGCACACCCGGCTGCAGCCTGCTGGACGTCGACCCTGGAGCCTCCACTAACCGCACCGTCTACACCTTTGTGGGCTCTCCTGAGGCAGTGGTGGAGGGGGCGCTGAACGCCGCCCGCCAGGCCTTCAGCCTTATTGACATGAGAAAACATTCAGGTGTGTCTGAGCCCAGCAGCTCATCTCAGGGAGCTGCTTCCTAACATCAAGGCATTAACATGTTTCCTGTCCAGGTGAACATCCTCGGACCGGGGCCATGGACGTTTGTCCCTTCATCCCCGTCCAGAACGTCAGCATGGACAACTGCGTGCAGTGTGCCAACGTGTTTGGACAGAAACTGGCAGAGATGCTGCATGTGCCCGGTGAGGCTCATTAAAAAAAAACAGCTTCAGCTTTACTGCAGTCAAACATGCAAGAAAACAAGAATGAGAAACAGAATAAAATTATAAAACTAAATGCCAATGTAAAATTAAAAAAAAATAGTCAATTTTTATTGTTTATTAGGAAAACTAAAAAAAAACAAAAAACAGCGATACCTGGATAAGACAGACGAGACATAAAGCACAAAAAGCAAGTAACACAGACAGACTTATGACAACCTGCAATGTTTCACAGTTGTGAGGTTTTTGTTGTTAAGCCTTTTTCTCCACCCAGTGGTTTTCTAATGATGGCAACAATGTCTCCTTGTTTTGTGGAAGGTGCTGATCAGTGCCCAGAATTTTTGTGTGAGTTAGGTAAATGACAGAGGTGCTACTTAATTCAGAATTTCATATTGTAAGTAAATAAGTCTGGAATTTAATAAGTCTTTTGTAGCTGAGGAAATCAGACTGAAGTGGAAGGTTTTGGTTTGTTATTCAGGACTATAAGAGCTGTACGGAGACCGATTGCACAGATGCTAGTGTTGTATCAGTGGTGAGAGACCAAGTACATGAAAAAAAAATCACCTGTCGCATTCAAATGAAGCCAAAGAGTCAGAAGTTGATTTATTTATTGTTTCTTAACTGAGTCAAAAGTCTTATCTTATCTTGACTTCTGAGATGAAAATAAAACACTTTATGTTAGAGCCCAATAATAACATAATCCTGGGCCAATAATGTGGCAATAAAAGAGTGGGAACTACGTATTACTATTTAATTTTAATGTACATACAAGATAATAAACAAAGTAATTTTTAGTTGACCACTATTGGCCGAAATGTATAGCATAGAATAATGATGCCTGTGAGGGTAAAGCTGTTAGTAACAGTACAGTAATATTTTTCTAAGAATAAGAGAAGCTGTGAGCAATAAAATAGTAATTTCTGTGCAGAATTATGGGAATACATTTATAATAACAGTGATGTGGTAGTAATGGCATGATAATAAGATAATAATGCACGTTGGTGTTTTCATATATTAGGATAATATTACAATATTTATATGTGAAATGAATTTTCCATATACCTTAAAAAGGGTCCTTTGTTTGAATGTAATAATATTCAAATATTTTATATTTGATGCTGTGGTGTACTTGTGTGGTAGTTTTTATATAATAACTATAAATCAGTGCAACTAAATATAAGACTACCATTTCTACTATGCTGCATGCAAAAGCTAAAAGCCAATGAAACAAGCTATTACTAGTTATTATATTGTAATTGCATAGTGGTATATGGTATTATGGAACTATTGTCCCTTTATGCCACACTCCACACTATTACCATGTTCTTACTGAGTTGTCAATAAATTGCTGCCAAAGTCAGAGAGCAACTTTGTCACTACAAATGCAAACATTTGGACGTCAGCTCCAGTGCATGCTGAGCCCAGAACAAAACTCCAGAAGTGCAAATGAGTGGGTGGCACTGTATTCCTGGTCATTCTTTTAAGAGCTGTTAAAACAGACTGGTCAATTTTGAATGAGAACACTAAAGTAAGGGGGATGGGGGAGCACAGAACTGGAAGGTTAATGAGGTAAAATGATTTGGGGGGTTTTTCCTGACTGCTCTGATTTTTAAAAACCACAAAATGTTTTTACATTAGAACCAAAAGGGAGGCTTCACCCTCTCAGCAATAAACCCGAGATTCAAGTCTCAGCTTACTATACACTGTTTTTGGTTTAAATTCAAATTAAGAAGTAAATAAGTTTCTTTTTCCACAGTGTATCTTTATGGAGAAGCAGCTCGAACAGAGACCAGGAGAAGCCTCCCATCTGTGCGAACAGGAGAGTACGAAGCTTTGCCTGAAAAGGTGAGGACTCATCAAATCATTATCTCCTTTCTTCTTCGCTCATTTAGTGTTGTGTGGTTCTAACTTCTGAGAATGATTTCTAAAAAAAAAAAAAGGTTTCTTTGTAACAGCAGGGTCAGTGATTGATTTTTATTTTTAACTTGAAATATGGTTAACCACAAGAAAATTGTCTCTATTTCCAATTACAATGTTTTTCTCCCTCCAGTTGAAACGTGATGAATGGGCCCCTGACTTTGGCCCCGCCGACTTTGTACCATCTTGGGGCGCAACAGTAACTGGTGCTCGTAAGTTCCTCATTGCCTATAATGTGAACCTGATCAGCACTAAAGAACAGGCTCATCGCATAGCACTGGACATCCGGGAGCAGGGTCGAGGGAAGGACCAGGTGCGTCCTGGGAATCTGGGTTATTTATTTAGCTTTTCATGCTGTGGGTGTTGCTCGCTGTCATGACATGATTAAAATGTCCTTTTAGGATTTCTTTCTTCCTGTTTTGTTGATGAATTTTTCAGATTTTTCTTTTTTAAATCAATTTTTTTCTAATATTTTCCACTTTTTGGAGAATTTGTTGAAATTTCCGATTATTTTTGAATTTCTTATGTTTGTTTGAAAGGTTTACTTAATTAAATAGGACTTGATATAAAACTAAGTATTAAAATCTTTTCTTCTTCTTCTCTGTGTTCATAAGCCTGGGCAGCTGAAGAAGGTGCAGGGGATTGGTTGGTACCTGGATGAGGCTAACCTTGCTCAGGTTTCCACCAACATTCTGGACTATGAGGTGACGCCCCTCCATGCTGTGTATGAGGAGATCTGCAGAGATGCGGAGGTTAGAGCTGTGTACTTTGTGTCGTTTCTGGGATGCTTAGAACTCAAATTACACTGCTGGAAATAGTTTATTTTGATGCACATGCTGGTTTTTTTGCAAATTAGCATTATAATACTCATTTTCATTTTTCCTGTAGTATATAAAAATTGATGTATCTCAAAAATAAAATTATGAAGACACTCAAAATAAATTTCCTGTTGTTGGAAACTTTTTTGTACAACTTTTTTTTATTTACAGTTTTGAGGGATAAACCTCTTAAAACCACTTAAGCCCCACGCCCCCGGTACCGGGGGCAAAAAGGAGGACATCTCGTTTAATCAGTTATAACACAGGATGAGAAATATAAGTCCAGACATGTGTGGTATCCACAGAAACCTCAGAATCTCAGCTAAAATGTCATATAAACCATTTCTACAACCACCAAACACATTGAAAACAAGCCATGATTAAACAAGCAGTTACGTAAATGCACAGAAGACCGCTAAACAAACAAAACTGAACCGGAAATTCTCCAGACTTCATGTAACCGGCTAAAGATAGGCTGGATAGCTTCCAGAGCTATCACTGACTCCACACACCAAGTTTCACCACGATCAGACCAAAATTCACTGAATGAGCCGCAAAAGAAGACCACTAAAACACAGAGTGGTGCAAATGCGCTAAGACAGAGATTGGCTTACCATCCCGATTTCCTCCGTTATTTTCGCTGGTAGCCGGTAGCCACGTGATTACCAGTAGTTACCATGCCTACCTAGCCGCATCAGAGCCGTTTTCTGTCAACAACCTCCATTTTAGACCCACCTACAGACACGTGACTGGACAGACGCCACATGCAGCAAATTTGGGCCCACGTCTGATTGGTTGAAGTGACGTGAACGTGGCATCGTTACTTTGATTCTATTGTCTAAAACAATTAAAAAGAGGTGTCAATCATGCAAATTGACCAAAAGAAACCAAAGTTACAGCCCCTCGGAGTTTAAAGGGCCAGAGACCAATTAAACGCTTCATGCGCACTGCAGAAAAGGGCCATTACCATGTAAATGTGTGGTTAATTCTTCAAAAATGTATTTTTTTAAAAAGAGCATTTTTAGGCCTGATAATAAAATTTATTAATTTCTGCTCTTTAATACCTAAAAAAATTCAACTGGCATGGTGTCCAATTATGTGCCAAATTTGGTCATTTTTGTACTACGTCTGGATATTGATGTATTGACAGGGCAGTAATTTTTCACTGTTTCACTTTAGAAACATAAATCTTTGCACAGATGATGTTTATATGTTGGTTACTGAAATCCTGGAACCAAATGTGATCTGAGGCATATTTTTAAAAGGTTTATATGCTAAAAATTAAAAAAAATATTAGGCGAGGATAAAATATACTTACTTTTCCTGTGTTCCAGTCTCAGGAACTTTGACACAGTAATATCTGCTTCAATATTTACACCCCTGGTGAGTGTTAGCTTTATTTTGATACCGAGATTGTAAGGACAGAGTTTGTAATTGGAGAGAAATAATCAATTAAATTTGGGCATTACATTTTCGAGCAGGAAGTTCAGAAACCCCCCTTGGTGCTTAAGAGGTTAAATTTCTCTAACTATAAATATATGTAAAAAAAAAACTAAAAACGATTTTAATTTCTTTTGTGGTTTATTGCACTTTTTTGCAATTTTTGTGGTTACTATGGACTTAATGCATACATATTATTAAAATTTGAGCTATAACTGTTGTATTAACGTATAGCAACTTGAAATGCTCCCAAAAAGGGAACTACAGCATGTAAAAATATAAATATAAGCTCTGGCAGACTATGGTAGGTCTTAAAGGGTTAAGTAAAGACCAACAAATCCTTAGACTGTTACTGACTTAATTTTTTCTTTTATTGAAATTGTCTTTTAGGACCTAAACTTGCCTGTGGTCGGCTCTCAGATTGTCGGCCTGATCCCTCTGAAGGCTCTGCTGGACTCTGCTGACTTTTACATCCAGAGAGAACGACTCTTCATTATCAAAGAGGAGCACAAAGTCCGACTGGTCAGCAGATGACTCTTTTTTTTGTTTTTTTTTAAGATATTTTAATAAATTATAGGCTCTGATTGTTTGTTTGTTTGTTGTCAGGTGATCAGTAAACTTGGCCTCGACTCCCTCGGTCTGTTTAATCCAAAGGAGAGAATCATAGAGTGAGTATTTACAAACTGTGATGTAGTCAGCTGATTCATTATATACTTTATATCCCGAAAAATATATAAGAACATCAAAGAACATTCAGCCCTTATAATGACAGGATTACATTTTATCTGTGAGTAATAAATAAACAGAAAGCAGAAGGACATTATAAATCCTTTTAAAGTCTCTAGAACATTTGTGGAGTGGATTGAGAAAACTGCCAAACCCACCTAATAATCATTGAGGGTTAGTAGGTTGTCTCTGGTACCAGATTTTACATCATGTTTCTGAACTTCTGAACCCTAGCACACCAGTCGGATGCTTCTTTTCCACTGAGATGATGCCAGCATCTGTTGTATTTTGGTGTCTTTTAAGGACCATATTTCAACAAATGTGAGAACCATTTCTTATACAGTGTTAAGGTGGGACATGTCTTAAAAAGAATCATGGCAGACAGAATCTGTTGGTTGAATCAGTTATTTTTTTTTATAGTAGTCCCTCCAGTAGTTACTGATATCAGTGGTTCCATATCAATCATATTTGTATCAGTGATATCTGATATCTTGTATCAATGTCAGTTTGTTCTGCAATGACAATATCAAAAACCGTACGTTTCTCACTAGCAGTGCCGTCACTAGAAAAGAGGTCAAACATGTTATGATTTTCATGAAGGTCCTGTTGGGGGATTTAGAGTTTCTCTATTCAGGTGCTCAGAAATTCCACTTTGTAGATGGAGCAGTTCATCTGTCTTCATCTGAGGCAAAAAAAAAATAAAAAAAATTGAAACATGCCAATGAGAGCCCGATCCGTATGGTCCATAGTCCCAGATCTGTGAGGCTGTGGTTCACCTAATTTGAGGCCAAGCGTCCAAAACAGTAGTTTGCTTGGCGCTTTTCAGCGCTGTTAATTCAATCTTGAAGGCCTGCTTACAAAAAATGAAAAAAAAGAGAGCTGATTATTAGCTCATCAAAACACAACACATAACCACCTGACAGGTTTTCTCTAAGTGCACTGTTACAATTTTAAAGGGCCCAATTCTAGACATGTCCATGTTTACTAAAACTCCCTCTAATAAAATAAGAAAACAACCCAAATCTAACTGACAGAATCCACCCATCACTCAAACAACAACCCCAAGGATCTTAAACACACAAAAATTTTGCTTATTAATCTATCAATATGTTATGGAGATTAAAACTTCAGGGCCACAAAAGTTTTGCCCTACTCTTGGTTTAATTAATACTTACATAGTCTGAAATCAGACTTAAAATCACTCCCTCTGTTCATTCTTCCCCACATCATATCTCAGTGGTTGGCCTCAGATTCCACAGCGTCCTGAGAGTCCGAGGTCAACTGACATAATTTCACCTGCTAAATACACACAAAAAATCTTGTTAAAAGCCACACAGTTATGTTCCCCTTTTAGCACTTTAACATACATAGATTTAGCATAAGATGTAAACCCGTTATAACAATGTGTCATCACTAAATTATAAATTTCTTGTCCAAATCTGCCCTTCTGAACAGACCTGACCACCTTAATTTATTATCCTGTTACTTTGCTATTATATCTTTCACCAAGTAATCCTCCTCAGTCTCTGCTATGTTTCCTTCATTGAAAGCCTCAGACACACAGCCACACAGGAAGCTTCTTTCTCACCACTCATTTCAGCTAATTTGCATACTGAGTCATATCTCAAGAAGTTACCATGACAAGAGAAAGGCATATTTAAATCTTACCACATTATTAAATTATTTTATTCCTTCCTAGAAAAATCACTTGTTTTGCTCAATCGACACAAGAGCATTTCCAATTCACTATTTTAAAACTACTTCAAGCTCTTAATCACTTTTTCATTTTCACCAACGTCACTCTCTTGTCATGGAGCTTTTCTGAGTTATTCCTCAACTTCAGAGTTTAAGTGTGTTAAATTCACACTATTTTAACACTAATAAACAGACTCACATGCTCAACATGCTGTCTAATCTTCATGAGCTCTCTCGTAGTTGTAAGGTTAATGCAGTTTCTGTTTGTGTGTGTGATTTTGTATGTTTCTTTTTGCAGTGTTTTCCCACTTAAGCAGTCAGTTTTCTCTTCCCCAAGTTTACTAACCCAAATTTTGATGTCCCACCTTAAATAACAGCATTCCTTGTCTTCAGCCAATTCAACCAGAAACTCGGCCTGAACGTTTCCAGTGATGTTTACCTATAAGTTTCTTCCGACCGCTGCATGTGGAAAATTGATCCAGGTCTGCTTTACACCTAAAAATAACAAAACTGAGACATTTTCATTATTATCATGAGTGCTTAAATGACCCACTTCTCTCTCTCCGGCCAGAAATACCAATTTATTTCATGTATTCACCTTGATAAATGTAAGCGTGTTCTTCCTTGCGTTCATGTTATGTGGTCATGTTAATGGAGTGTAAGCTGCTTCTTCATTGCATATGTATTTTATAATCAGGTTTAACTCATGCCTCTTTGCACTGAGCTGTGGATTCAAACTATCTCAATTCTGCTTCTCCCCAAAAGTAATTTCACATGTAACCCTTTGTATATGTGTGTTTTGTATAACCTCATTGTTGTGATATGGTGAACGTCAGAGATGGGCAGTAACGCGTTACTTGTAACGCATTACTGTAATCTGATTACTTTTTTCAAGTAACGAGTAAAGTAAGGGATTACTATTGCAAAAACGGTAATTAGATTACCGTTACTTTCCCGTAGGAACGCTGTGTTACTGCGTTACTAAAACCGTGATTTCGTGCGAGAATGTCTCACGACAGTGACGTAAGCGAGTGCGCCGTTAGTGACAACAGCTGTGTGCAGATCAACAATGGATCACATATCGATTGTGGGAGAGAGTATGAGCGTGCAGCGTTTAAAGCGTGGAAGTACTGACCTTACTTTGAGTTTGATTCCATAAAAAGTGACAAAAACATTAGTGTCCATCGTGCGTGGGAAGAAAACTTCTTTTTACAACGAAAAAACTTCCTTAACTTCCAAGCAAGCACCGAGTGCGCAACGATGTAATGGGAAACTCACAGAGAAACTCGCGGATTCTTCAACTGACCGCGGCACACCTGCACCAGGGTAAACCTCCGCCTACCGCAGTCCTGCTTTACAGGTGAAAATAGAGCAACAGGACCGCTGAGTCTTTGACTTTATTTATGTTCTGCTGTGTTTTACTTGCATCTATTTGAAAGAGTGAGTGTAAAAACAAAAAATATTTTATTTTATGTGCTGGAATGTGTAGAAAATAGGTTTAAATGTTAAACTAATTTATTCAACTCAGAGAATGTTGCATATAATTAAATTTTTGCTTGATGCATAAAGTTAAAAGATTAAAACTGATAAAACAAGTTAAAAAAAAGAGACTTTTCCATTTGATTACATTTTGTATGATGGATTATGCAGAAAAAGTAGAATTGGACTGAAAGATCTATCGCTTTATTACCTCTTCAGGTTGTAAATCGTGTTTTTAAAAAGTAACTAAGTAACTAAGTAATTAGAAAATAAGTAATCAGTAAAGTAACAGGATTACTTTTGGGGGGAAGTAATCAGTAATTAGTTACTGATTACTTTTTTCAAGTAACTTGACCAACACTGCTGCTAAGTCTTGATCTAAAGACAATGTGCCCTTATTTCACGCACACACACACTTAAATATACTAAGCTCTTTCATTTGCCAGCATTCACACCAAATCTTCAGCGTGCCCAGCAAAGCTCTTTCAGACATCAGGACAATTAACAATTTTCCACACATATCACCATTCTTTCAGCTCAGTTTTGTAGCATCATTCACGCAATACTTTCATCAGCATTTTACACACTTCCCTGAACTTCGTCGTCTCACACACACTTTTTTCTCAAAACAATGTTCACCTTTAATCATTCATTCCAAATGACAATTTTACACTTCACTTATACATTCACACATTTATATATAACAAAAGACTCCCAGTAACTGCCAAGATAAATTATTTCCATTACCATATTCACATCTTCACTTCATCTTCCTCTAGTACTAGTCATCCTACCATTTCGACTAATTTAAAAGCATCTAAGCCCAGGTTCACCCACCTTGCTGGTCAATTGTAGCCGTTATCTGTCCGGGACAGCGGCCCGATTACTAAGTCCTATCTTAATCTATAAGAGCTTCACGCAGCTCGACAAGAAGCTCCACCTCATGAACGCCCAGCGTCGTGCTGGCGCCTGAAGCTTTATGTAAAGCTTACATGTGAGCCACGTTTAAAATGGTCACGCCCGGGGGCCCCGCCCCTGTCGGTCAAATGGTGCAAGAAAAGTGGTGCTTGACCACTAGCTATTAACGAGCGTCCCCAGTGCTCGCAGTTGCCAGCTGAATTAACCCTCTCGCCCAAGGACAATGTTCCGCGTCCGGAACAGAGTGGAGGCATAACCCTCAGAACATTTTGCACCCCTAGGAAGTCCAAATTCCCTTCCTAAGTACTTTAAATAATTCTGGAAGCATCACTGTGGACTATAACCGCCAGTTTATTATCTGATGCCCGGGTCCCACCCTATAATCAATGTGGGAATAAAATTCCCTGACCAAATGTCCTAATCTAATCTCTTTTCTTGGCTGACTTAACACACACATAACACACCAACTTCAAACATACATCACAACAACTTTCAACTTCACCCTAAAATTAATCACAATAAATTTTATCAAATATCCCCAAACTTTACCTGTATTTATTTCTAATTACCCAAAGGTATCATGGACATGTCACCTGAGATCTACTTAATAGATTTTATAATTTAGTTTAATTTCCACTACTGAGCCACTTTAATGGTAATAATCATCAATTCAGTGGACAACTAATTTAGAATTCATCCAATGTGCACAATTTTCAACAGGCTTGCGCTTACCTATACTCTTTTGTATAGGTATGAGGTGGTCTGTTGTCCACCTCATATCAGATCGTACCTTAAGGTCCAAATTAGTCCCCTCAGCCGCAAAAGAATCCGGGTCACTGGCACCAAGTATTAAATTCCGGTTCTTTTGGATTCTTTAGGGCCAAGAAAGACATGGCTCAAAAGTGGTCCTTTTACTTTAAAAATTATCTTTATTTTACATATCCAGGATAATGAGACCTGAACACAAAACACACAACCCCAGGTCTGAAGCACAAACGGCAGCCTAGGTATTTATATACTTGCTCTCTACGTCACACCACACTTTAAGTTTCGATCAAACAGCCTAGTTGGTTTCACTTTCTACTGCAATTACAATGCTTCTGCAAAAGCATGCAGTTTCGTGTCAGCACTTTTGGCACAGAGTGTACTCAGAGTTAGGCCTTTCTTATATAAAGCAATATAATTAGCATATAAACATTTAAGATTATAAATTTAAACCTCAACAACATCCAGCATCAATCCTGTGACAAACCCAGAATATTTTAAAATAAAACAAAAGCTATATATAACATTATTTGTCAGTATTATATAGTAGATGATAAATGATGATGATATCTTGTTAAAAGTAGGTGTGGTGTGTATCACCTGTGCAGGTACATGGTGAAGTCACAGGAGGATGGACAGCTGGTGTCTTTGTCTCTGCGGCAGTTTGTTCAGAGCATTGGTGCTCGGACAGCAGCTCCCGGAGGAGGATCAGTTTCTGCAGCAGTTGGTGCAATGGTACGAGCTTTTAGGTTCATAACAAAATGATACAATTTTACTTTTAGTTACTTATTTTATTTCGTATCCCTCTTGTAGGGGGCCGCACTGGGTGCCATGGTTGGTCAGATGACGTATGGGAAGAGGCAGTTTGAGAATCTGGACAGTGTGATGAGGAGGCTGATTCCTCCATTTTATCAGGCCATGAATGAATTGCTGGACATGGTGGATGCCGACTCCTCCGCCTTCAACAGCTACATGGTGAGGAGGAAGGTCCAACAGCTGCAGAGCCTCAGAAACATCTGCAGGCACCCGGAACCATTTCCACTCTTTACTTCTTTCACTGTAACCAGAGTGTGATTATGTTTTGTCTTCATGTCAGATTTGAGTTGATCATATTCGTCTCATGTTGTAGGCAGCACTGAAAATGCCAAAGAAAACTGCAGAGGAAATGAAAAGGTGAATACTCAAGACTTTAAGACCACCAATTACTGCTAATGACTGAATGCCGTCAGGTTACATTTTTTAAACGTCTTTAAAATGTCCTTGTAACTTTCAGAACCACGTTTCCACCTGTGATCATTTTTTTAAATAATCAAATATTCACTTTGTTCTTTTTACAGCTGAAAAGGTCAAAACTAATTTCATTTCTGTCAGCTGCAGAAACACTTCCTGTTTATTTGTTTGTTGTTCTCATCAGGAGAGAAGCTGCGATGCAGGAAGGACTGAAGCAAGCTGTTGCTGTCCCATTGGCTCTTGCTGAGAGGATCAGCATCCTTTGGCCATCTCTTAAAGAAATGGTTGTCTACGGAAATTTTAGCTGCAAGTCTGATGCTCAGGTGTGAAAAAACACTCATTTCTACTTGTTCTGCTCAGATTCTCTGAAGGTTATAAAGTGCACCTTCAGCATCATGGTGATATAAACTGAGAGGAACTTTGTCTTTTATTAGTGGTGTGTTAAAACATGAATGCATATTAAATCTTTTAGTCTTTACTCCCACTTTTCTGTCAAACATCGCCTGCAACAGCAAAGCTGTAAATAAGCCCACCTGTCATGTTTTATTTCTGGTCTCAGGTAGCAGCTAAAGCTTTAGAAACAGCTGTTTTTGGAGCATACTACAATGTCACGATCAACCTCAAAGACATCACAGATGAAGCCTTCAGAGCAGCAGTAAGTGTGTCCATGAGGTTCTTCAATGTTGCTGTTGATATGCTCTGCTTGTGAATAACTCGTTTTTTTTGTTTCTGCTGCAGACCCAGAAGAGAGCGTCAGAACTGCTGCATGAAGCCAAAGACAGCAGTGCTGCCATCCTCCATGCTGCAGAGAAAAGAAACTGAATAGACTGAAGAAATAAATAAAGCTGCACAAGGAAGTTAATCTGACATTAATGTGACTTTAAACACTGAAGAGCTGGATACAATGAATGTATTACAAGGGAAAATCTTCAGAATAAAGAGGTTACTTGAAATGGTAAAAGTTTTTAATTTTTGGTCATTTCTTTCCGTTCATATTCACAGAGCAGAATCACAATAACATTTTATTGTAAGATGATTTTCTGTCGGGACAGATTATGTTGCAGTGGACGAACATGGTACTAGAAATACTGGTAAAAATTTTATCGTATGCGATGGCAGACCGTGGAGATGTGGGGAAAGAGGACCCAAACGCCGGCAGGGCTCTAGACTAACTTTTTGCCATGGGCGTACTGGTACGCCTAACTTTTCAAAGTTAGGCGTACTGGCACAAAAGTTAGGCGCACACAAATTTTATAATAATTTATATAATATAATGTGTTTTTCTGGATACACTGTTCTTTTTCAGCATTCAAAGATTGATGACACCGTGTCAGAGCACTGGCTATGAATTTCAGAAGGATCAGGCCTTAACAGAAAAGTTAGCAATAGTTCTTTTCCTATTACAGCTACATCCACTTCTGTCGTGCCTAGGCTGCTCACTAGGGCTGGGTATCATCACTGATTTCTATAATCCATTCGATTCCGGTTTTCAAAGTCCCAATTCGATTCAACTTAGCCTCAGACAGTCAGAAATATTATAATTCTGATCATTTATCAGTACTGACTTCATCAGAATTGTGAACATCACAGCAGATGCCTTTGTGTGAAAGTAACTGAGAATAAAACACAGAAGAACATGAAGGAGATTTTCCTGGTCTGGCTTTTTATAGCAGATAACCTTAAAAATATTCTACAATGTTCTGCATATAAAGTTTAAATTTCTTCAGTATTGAACAACAGAAAAAATAGGCTTTCTTGTCCGAGGTCATTTAAGTGAAAAAAAGAAAAAGAAAAGAAAAAGCCAGCAGCCGACAGCGCTGTAAACAACGGTAGACTGGTGGGTAATAAGCGAATGAATAATACAGAAAACAGAGATTGGAGACTGTTCTTGAAGTACAGAGAGAGAGAGAGAGAGAGCTAGCTGTGCATGGAGTAATAGTCATGGAAGCAAAACGGCAAAATTCATGACGACATTGATCAAATGTGAAGCGCAGTTTGCTGCTTCTTTTGCTGCTGGCTCGGTGAATTTTGGTTGGAGAGAGACAAAACCTGCAGCTCAGAATCAGCGCGGACCGGACGCATCAGAACCGCTAACCTCCGACAGCGTGTCCGTCTACGGGCCGTCGGGTTAGAAAGCCGAGAAAGACAAAGTTGATTCTGATGCGTCGGTCCGTTCTGTGTTTACGTCTTTGTGTGGAATCCGTGTACCTGCTCTCATTTACTGTTTGGTTGTTGTTGAAATGGTTTTGTGAGCTTTAATCTGAGAATCTGACGTTTCTGGCAAAACACAGTTATATTTAAAAGTCGATTCAGGATTTAATGAATTGATATCGCTTTATTCAAGCTACTCACCTCCCACTTCCACCTGCACTTTCAACTGGACCACGGCCAATCAGAGAGGTCCCGCCCCTTACTATCTCTTATTGGTTTAGTCCACGATAGGGGCATAATGTGTGTCTGTTGTTGACCACAGGGAAGGTTGCAGATTTTTTTTTTGTTTTTTTTTTGCTACCCGAACAGTTGGTCGCACAGGTGCAACCAAATATTTCTTTTTAGTCGCACCACTGAAAAATTTGGTCGTATTTGCGACCAAATTGGTCGCACTCTAGAGCCCTGGCCGGACTCTTTAATGAAGACAGTGCATTTATTTACAGTGAAGTAAATAATCAAACAACAATAAATCCCTGTGCGCCCCCGACTCCCATGCCGTGTAAACACATGAAAAATGTGTAAAAAGCTTAACACACGTGATGTGTTAAAACAAATTCTGCCCAGTAACATGACATACCAGCGGCGGGAAGGGGGCGCTATCGTTTTGCGCCACTGAGACAAAGGAGACAAAGATGGAGGTTACGTTGCCTAGTATGTTGTCAGACCTTACAGTAAGTATGATTTACCAGTTTATCTTAATGTACTGAAAATATGTCGGGTTTCTGGAAGAATGTGAAACGCTGAATTTATATAAAATATATGAGTTAAATAGGAGCTTTGAGTTTAAGCACTGTTAATTACTGCTTAACTATACCTAGCTAACCTTAACGTAACAGTCTTGCTAACACATCCTACCCTTAATTTTAGTATTAGTTCTTGGCTTTAGTGCCATATTTCATTAGTGTTAATGTGTTTTTGGTAGTATTTTTATATATTACTTTATTCATGTATTTATGCATTTACTTTATTTATGTATTACAGTATTCAGAAATTGCTCTTAGTACTAGTGTTGTAGTTGAGCTAGCAGCTCCGACAAGCATTCTGGTGTCTATGAGCAACACCAGACTCAGTACCTAACCGTAGCAGTGTTGTGTAAAATGACAATATTGTCGTTAACTCTGAATATAGCTAATGCAGTTATCACCGCGTTATCATCCATTTGTTTACTAGCACAGAATAGGAACAAAGACTGAGCAACTTTAGTTTGATGTCGCCCTTCTGTCTTCTGTTATCACACTTAATAGACTACATTTAGTAGTGTTGTGATAAATATTTGTTATAATTACTTATCACTGGTTAACATGAAATATACCTCATACAAAAATAATGATTTTTAAGCAGTTAAAGCAGTTTTTGCATCTAGCATGCTTAACTAAATTATGTGTGCATTCTTTTTTAAGGCTTGTTTCTGGAAACATGATCTGATATTGTTTCTTTTTTATGCAGAACTTCTGAGGAAGTAATAGTCAGTGTTATTTAAAAAACAACAGTAACTTGACCATGCAAATTATCTTACTTATTTAGCCATGTGTTTCTTTTTTTTTCAGCACACATATGACAACTTAGAATCTGTCAAAGTCCTTGTAACCACTTTTATAGATGAGAAAGAGATTTGTAAAAAAAATTCTTAATGTCAGCAGTGCCAAAGACATCATAGGTCAAAGCCAAGCTCAGCACATGGGCTATGTGCTGAGCTAGATAGGCTGCTAAAGTATAACACTGATTTCATGGAATATATTGATATTGACAGTAAGGTAGACGTTAAGGACTTTGATAGATAGTCCTACCGATTAATTGCTCCCTCCATAATTCCTCTTCTACACCACTGCAATCTGGAAATATAAAATATTTAGGTATTAATGTTTCTCCCAAGCTTGCAGATCTAACTAAATTAAACCATATCCCACTTTTAAAGAAGGTAGAAGGCGATCTGGCTAGGTGGAAATGTCTACCCATATCACTCATGGGAAGGGTTGCCGCTATAAAAATGATGGTCTTACCAAAAATAAATTATTTATTCTCAATGATCCCAACTAAACCGCCACAAGATTGGTTCAGATCTCTAGATTCATGTATGTCCAAATTCCTTTGGAAAAATAAACCTCCACGTATAAGCTTAAAAACACTACAAAAGACCAAGGATAGAGGAGGATTAGAACTACCTAACTTTCAGCACTACTTCTTAGCCAACAGGCTTCAGTTTATCTCAGGATGGCTAAAACATACCCTCTTAGATGAACCTTGGCTAGATGTAGAACAAGCACTTTGCAATAATCTAGAGATCTCAGACCTGCCATTTATCAGCTCAAACATCCAACGACATGAATGCTTTAAAAGCATCAACATCAGCTCTTCTCTGACAGCATGGTGGGAGTTTCTAAAATTGACGGCGTCTTCATTAATCCCATGCAAACGTACACCTATCTGGAACAACCCTGACATATTACAAAACAATAATATGATAAACTTTTCAGATTGGAGTGGTAAAGGAATCAAATATTTAGAACATATACTAGAAGGAACAGAATTTATTTCATTTGACGGACTAGTTACACAATATGGGATCAACAAGAAAAGATTTTTAGAATATCAACAAATTAAATCCATAGTAAAAAAAGAAATTTAACCTCAGTCAAGTTGAATTACAAACACCACCAAGTGTGGTTCAATTTCTTACTCTTAAAACCCCCAAATTACTATCCAAAATATACAGAATGCTTTCTAAAACAGATGAATCAATATCACTTCCTATTGCAAAATGGGAAGCGGATTTATCAGTTAACTTAGACCTAAACTTCTGGACTCAGATTTGCTTAAAAACCTTTCATCTAATTAGAAATCCCAGTCTTCAATTAATTCAGTACAAAATATTACATAGAGTGCACTATACAGGTCATCGGATGTTCAAGATGGGCTTTACGTCTACCAACAACTGCTCACACTGCCAAACCAAGTCACCGGACAATTATATCCATGCTCTTTGGTTCTGTCCACCAGTTCAGAAGTTTTGGTGCGAGATATGTGAAGACTTATCAAAGTGTCTGAAATGTAACATTCCAACTTCCCCCTTAGTGTGTTTGTTGGGCAGCTTAGATAATGTCACTTCAGAAAAGAATATAGCCCATATGGTTTTCACTGCCCTATGCATAGCCAAGAAAACAGTCCTCATGAACTGGAAAAATAAAAATAATCTTAATTCTAACCAATATAGTAATTATCTATTAGATTACATTAGTCTTGATACAGCCTCTGCCACCACATCAGATCAATTGCTCTGGGCTCCTTTGATCAGCTCCATCACCTAGTGGGGGTGGGGGGGGGTCATAGTTTGGTCCCGCCTTCACTGTTGTGATTGGTGTGGGGGTAGGGACAGGCTTAGGGCGTCGGGGGGTTCCCCGGAGGCATCTTCTTTGGGGGGCTCAACCCGGGGTAGCGGTCATGTCTGGTTAGGGGCTCTGTTGGCTCTCAGGTGACTGTTTCCTTGTGGCTGCGTGCAGCAGGGCTAGGGGAGGGTCTGTGCTGACGGACGTGGGTTACTGACCTGGTAGCCTGGCTGCCCCTGGGTGGGTCCGGGATGGGCGTGAGGTTCTGGGGGCGCTCCGTCTCTGGGCTGGGGCCCTGGCCGGGCCTCGGGGGCTTGGGTCCTGGTTGGTGTGTTGCCGGGGTTGTGGGCGGGTGGGTGCATGGGGGCCCAGCCCTGGCGCAGGGTGCCGCCGGTGCATCGAGCCAAATGGGGGGCTCTTCAACTGG